TTACTAGTAAATTTAAAGCTTACTTCTAAGGAGCGTTTACTAGAACCGGAAGAAATAAGTGTCATTTGCTTTCAAATTTGTAAGGAGGTAGTGGGTAGACATCTTAAGGGGATGGGCTAGGGGTAGGATAAATTTATTTGGGGGTTATCTACTAAATTTTTAGATAAAATAGAGAAAAATATATAACTGTAAAAAATTATTTAGACCTATTAGAATACAATTATACTGCAAAATATCGACCAAATCTATATATTGTATACAACCCATAGTCATTAAACGATTAAAACTTATTTCTGGATTATTTTCTGCTATCTTTTTAAATGTAATTTAATAGGGTTAAATATCCTATCAGTAAACTCATATTCGTGTCAAACCAGGGCTTCAAACCGATATATATAGAGGTTTGGTTCGGTTTTTAGTTTAAAATTTTAAGGTTTTGTTCCATTTCGGTTTTTTAAAGTAATTCTTATCGGTTCGGTTTGAATTTGTGACGGTTCATTTCTGTTCTGTCATGTTTTTATGAATTTGATTTTTTAAAATAATCAATCTTAAACAATATATATAAATCTTAAAAAATCTTTTTAATTTAACCGTGATGATTATTTTTTTTATAATTAACTAGTAATTTAACTAATTTCTATCAAATGGAATTTATAAAGTAAAAACAATAAATTTGCTAAATATATGAAGATAATGGCTATTTAATTGTTTAAAAATTTTATTTGAAAAGATATAACGAATTTAAATTGTCCCTAAGGAAAATTAAAATTAGAATTTAAGTTATTAAATTAAAATTAATTATTTTTAAAAACCTTTATGAACCGGTTTAAATCTGTTTAAAAAATATTTATACTTAGGTTCGCTCTTTATATATTTTCTCTTTAACGTATCAGAAAATTATAACAGTTCGTTCCGATTTAACTGTTCGGTTCGAAACCTGTGTCAAACAATATACTATAACAATAAATTCTATGTAAATGAGGGAGTTTTTTTTATATTTAATTCATGTTCTAATGAATAAAATATATAAAAGATATCCGAAAATGATATATAGTGGTCGAAAAAAAAAATTAATATAATTTAAATTAAAAATAGATAAAGGGAGTATACCTTAATAAAAAACGTGGGATTAAGAATTTGGGAATATATTCCACCGAAGTGGCAAAATATTTTAGTAAGGTAGGTTTAGGTTTTTAACGGAAGTATGCTTCTGGTGAATATCTTGTCATGTTGACGATGCTCTGGGTAAAATAGAAAAAAAAATAGTATAATTAATTTACGTGTTAAGTGTCACTTTTATTTTGCTCATTATTATTTTATATATATATATATACATATAGATAATTTCACAAAAGATTTATTTGATTTTACAATCAAGTTTAAAATATCTCACCACTGCCACAATAATAAGTATATGGAAGGTGTTGAATATAAAAATTTTTATATTTGAAAATTTAGTTTTATATATTTTGTATTTGCTATTCAAATTGGAATTGTTAAAAGCTAAAAGGTTTTAAGTTGTATCATCGTTGATTTCAATATTGACCATATAAGCATCATTTTTGTTAACATTGACTCCCCCCCCCCCGTATTATTTATACTTAAAATCACTAACTGTAGTTGTTATTGTATCTGTAATTGTTGTAATTAAATCTTTTGTTGTAATTATGTCTAAGATATAATCTTATATCATTATTTTTATAGTAAGGTCAACATGTATTTTCTCATCTATACCTGTTGTCATAACTCTCGTAGATATTATACCTTGAGCGAGATAATTATTTTCATTGTTCTATTTTTACGATATGGATGTGCTTACCATTGTTGTAGTCCTCATAACTTGATTCCTCTTGCACCATTTGTATGTGATACTGTTTGTTGGTGATTTGCCTCTGTTCAGGAATTTTTTTATTGTTTCTGGCTCCCTCCATATACTTTACGATGGAACGTGCTTCATATTAATTGATGGTTTTTGATACGTTCAATTCAATGTTCGCTGTGTTTAACACTTTCCCTAAATCTATAATTTCATTCTATATTTTATTTCTTTTGAAAAACTCAGTGCCTTTATTTTTCGCTCTACAGTATCCATCGAAATTACATTTCCTATTTAGTTGACAAATACGAGATGTCCAATCTAAGGTTGTCTTGTTTCTAAATTGCCTTATTAAACTCATGTAAACTTAAGCCGACTCCAGACATGAACACCAGTCTTCAACTTAAGTCGTAAACTTGAGTCATAAACTTAATCGACTAGAGTACGAATATTTCAAATTAGTATTATTGTAGAATTATTTAACAAACAACATTTGGTCGACTAGATGACGAGGTTGTTATGAACTAAAGTCGACTAGAGGTTGAGTATTTCAAATTAGTTATTATAAATTAACAAAACATTTGTTCTGTTTTTTTTATTTTTAACTTTTAAGTTGAGTTGACTAGAGGACGAGTATCAAATTAGTATTATTGTAGAATTATTTAACAAAAAACATTTGGTCGACGGATGAGTAGTTGTGTTAAATTCGAGTTAAAAATATTTAAAAAAAGCAAATATGTTATTAATTAATGATAACTAATTTGAAATACTTGTCCTATATTAGACTCAAATATATAATTCGTATTCACGACTCAAGTTGGAAGTCTAAAGTAAAAAATATTTGTTTTGTTAATCAATTAATATTAACTAATTTAAAATACTCACCCACTAGTCAACTCAAGTTCACGACTCAAGTTTACGACTCGAGTCTTGAGTTTACGTCTCGAGTTAGAGTTTAAAAACTGAATTCATAACTCAAGTCAGTTTTAGATTTATTTTTTTCAATAAAATCAGCTCATTTTTGACTAAGTGGACATGACTCAGTTGATTAACAACACTAGTCTATTATATGCCATTTGCGAACTCCATCGTAGAAGTGTTATTTCCCATGCATCATTTTACAAAATATCGTTATGTTGTTCTGGTCTTGAAAATAGACAATGTATTCTATCTTTGATTGAACATGTGTAATATTGAGCTGTTCTAAAAATTTCGATAACAAATATTTGATGGAAAAAAAATTACTACTAAATAATTCATTTTATGTCCAAAATTTTGATTTTAAATAAAAATAATAATGAGCAAAATTGAATAAGATTATGATAAAATTTTACAAAAAAGTTAAAATAAAATAAATAAAACAGGCGCGGAACTAATGGTGGGGGGGGGGAATTCCCCCGCCACCCCCATCGTAAATTTGAATATTTAAATAAATATCATTTTAAGCTAATAAAAATTTTACCCCCCCCCACTTCCTTTCCAATCAAAATTTTACAAATATTTAAATATCAATTTTCCAACATAAAACTTATTATTTATAAATAAATTTTATTAAAATTTTTCCTTGTGTGTACATTAACATTATTAAAAATATTAATAAAATGGAAAAATTTTAGTCAAAGTGATTGAAATCAAACGGTAATTTATTTTATTAGTATATATAATTATTTTATTAAATTCAAAATTATTTGTGAGTTAGAATTAATAAGTATTTTTAATAATATTTTAATTATTAATAAATATCTATAATTTTTTAAAATATTTTTCATTTTTAGTTCCATTTTGTAGAACAGAAGAAATTACAAAAGTTAAATAAGGCTGAGGATAAAAAAAAGTAATGTGTCATCAAAAATGATATCATTATTGAATTCAATTGATCAATCAGAGTTTATCATTGCTACTAGTTGGATCTGGATCAATAAATTATTTTCCTATAGCTCATTACTATGTAGAAATTTACAAAAACCAAATTTAGATTTCAGGTTATTGATTTGGAATATATATGAACAGGTGGATACAATAAGAATGAATGTAGATGAATATTTTCATAATATTTATCTAAACGTTGAATTGAAGGCTAAATTTTATGATAAAACATTAAACCTCGTCTAGCACCTAGGCAATTATTGAGATGTAAAATAAATATTGGCTCAACTGAAAAATTTTATAAAATATCCATTATCATCCCATTCTTAGACACCTCTTTATCCCAAATAAAAGTACGGTTTTTAGATAAAAAAAACAAGTCTTTAGCAATCTTCAAGTTTTATTACCCAAAGATTCTTCTTCGTTTTCTAATGCCACTATTGGTAAAATTAAATAATTAACAAAATTTTATTCCTATGATATTGACACTGAAATAAATTTAATCAGTGAATTCGAATTGTGGTATAAATATTTACTACGTTTAGCTTTTTAACCTGAGAATGCTATTGATGCGCTCAATCGGTGTAAAGAAACCTTGGCTCAATTTCCCAATATTTTGAAGTTGTTTGATATTCTTGCATGTTTGCCTATTACAACATGTACGAATGAAAGGATTTTTTACAATTTGAGAAGGTTGAAAAATATTTACGTAGTACTACTTCCGAATCTCGGCTAAGTGGGTTAGTTCTGTTAAATATCCACAGAGATTTAGTTCCAACTACAAACAAAATTCTTGATGAATTAGCAACATTCCCACAAAAATTAAATATCACATTAGTATTTAAAAATTTTTTTGTATAATATTGTATGATAAGAAGTTAAAAAAACTTGTTTTTTAAATTATTTCCTTGTCAATATTTTATACACACTACTATTGGTATTTTCAATAAAAAAATTATATTTTACTTATATTGTATGAGAATTTAAGCTTAGGCTAGTTTTTAAAGCAAATTTTATAGAAAAAAATGACATTAAACTTTACTTCAACTTTATATTTAAAAAACTTTATTAAATATAATATACCTAACTTAAAAATATCCCCCTCCCCCCATAAGAAAATCCTGGATACGCCACTGAAATAAAATATAAGTTTAATAGCTAAGGTTATACAAAAATAATTTTAAGTTAAATAAAATGCTTTTTAGTTTTCAACAATATCAAAATGCTTTTTAATTTTCAACAATTTCAACTTAAATAGCAAATCCAAAATATAAAAAGTTTTATATTCAACATTATGAGTATGACAGTGACAAGATTTCAATCTTGTAATTTTAGCGTTAATTTAGTTTTCAATTTATATTAAAAAAAAATAAGATGCCACCAATTCCTAAAACTGTTGAAAAGACTGGGAAAAAAGAGAAGAAGGACGCAATAATTACTCAAAATGAGATGGTATTTCATATTAATATATTTGTGACTTATATTCTTTTATAGAGCGAGGAAGATAAATTAATAAAAGAAGAAATTGAACTTCTTATAGAACGATTAAATGTACATAATAATTTTATTGTAATTACCTAATTTTTTATTAGGAGACGGATGAAAAGTTATATAAACCAGCATTAGAACTTTTAAGAACAATGATTAGAACATCTACAACATCAATGACATCTGTACCTAAGCCTCTAAAATTTTTAAGACCTTTTTTTGGTCAACTTAAAACCATATATGAAAAGATTCAAGATAAACATACTAAAGTGCTGTTTATTTATTAAATTATTTTTAATTTTTTATATAGAAATTTTGCTCAGATATAATATCTGTATTGTCCATGACTTTTGCAACTGAGAATCAGGATTGCCTTAATTATAGATTATCAGGATCAGAAGAAGAAATTGGATCATGGGGGCATGAATATGTCAAGTATATATACTTTTTAATGATTAATTATATATTATTTTTTTAAGGCATTTGTCTGCAGAGCTCAGAAATGTTTGGGTGGATGTCATGGAAACTGAGAATGCAGAAAATGATGAAATGAAAATTAAATTAAAAATTTTAGTTAAAGATATCTTAAGTTTTAGCATGAAGCATAATTGTGAAACAGAAGCATGTGACTTACTTATGGACATTGAATGTTTGGATATGCTTAAGGATTATGTTGACAATGAAAATTATCAAAGAGTAGCTTTATATTTGATTAGGTTATTACTATATTAAATATTTATAACATTATCTTAACAGTTGTATTAATTATGTGCCTGAACCTGACAACACAAATTTATTGAAAACAGCAATGGAAATTTATAAAATATTTGATAAACCTGTGGAAGCAATGACATTGGCCATACAGATGAACAATCCTGACATTATCAAAAAACAATTTGATAGCTGTGAAGACATGTAATATTCTTTTCTTAGTATTCCTTAATTTGTTAATAACATGATATCTTAATTGGCATCCATGAATGATTTTTAATATCAGATCATTGGTTTGTATTGATATTAAAAGCTAGGTTTGCACTGATAACATTGGTATTGGAATACTGCTTATCATTATCAAAGTTGTTAAATATCAATACTAAACTCAGAGACCTTCATGGGCCTTAATTTTTTGACCAAGCCCAGCCCAGCAGTAAAATATTTTTTTAGCTCAAGCCTGACCCGGCCCATATTTAATGTTAAAAAATACCAAGTTTGGCCCAAGCCCATAATAAATTTCACAAAAATTTCCCAAGCATATATACAAAAATTTAATTTTTTTTTTATTAATGAAAATAAACAATATTTAAATATATTTAGGCAATCATTTTGTTTACAATACTCAAATTTATTATTATTAGAAGAGAAAAGGGCAATATTTCATTAAATTAGCAACTGTTTTAAATAATCTAAATTTAAATTTAATAATTTTAGGCCCAAGCCCAGCCCATGCCCATTAAAAAAATTTTTTAACCCAGGCCCAGACCTGCTAGAAAATAATATGGGCCTGTGGGCTGGATCGGCCCATGAAGGTCTCTGACTAAACCTGACATTTTTATGCTATCAAATGATATGGATGAACTTGAAAATTTAACCAGATATATTTTATATAAAGTATCTATATCCATATTCGTAATTTTATCTCATATGATGGTTTATTTTTTAATAAAGATGAAAATAAAATAATATTTAACGTAGAGCATGACTAAAATACTCGCCCATAAAAACTATGCACTCCCTATCAAAGGAGCTTAATTTAAATTATATTAATATAGAATTGTATTTAGCTTTATAAGATGAGTTGAAAAATGTTTTTTTTTATTTAAAAAAAATGGTAACATAGTTAAATTTAAAAAAAATTATTTTTTTACATGACTAAACTACGCGCTCCTATGCACTATCAAAGAAGCTTAATTTATAAAAAATGAATGCGAATCATATATAGCTTATTAAAAGGAATCAAGAATGTTAGTATTTTATATTTTAAAACTTTTTATAACTTAGTGGGCTTTTGGTAAAACATTTTTTTTGACTAAACCACGTGCCCCTATCAAAGAGGCTTAATTCATAAAAAATTAAAGCATAATCATATTAAGCTCATTAAAATGAATCAAAAAATGTTAATCTTAAGTTTATAAATTATTTATAACTTATTGAGATTTTGAAAAAACACTTAATTTCTTCTTTTTTTGACTATACTATGCTCCCCTTGACCTACACGCTCCCGGTGAATATTACATTATTTTTAAAAAATGAATACAGACATTTTCTGAATATTCTTGAAAAGTTAAACATGATTCTGTATTCATTTTTTAAAAAATAATGTATATATACTGGTGGCGTGTAGTTACATAATATAATAAAAAAACAGTCATTGATGGCCATTATCCACAATAATAATATTAAACTCATCCTTTTCACTTTATAGTATCAAATCAGTATCAGGTCAATTTTAGTTCATATCAGGTTTATATCAGTTAAAAAAGAAAAAATGTACCAGTGCAACTTTATTAAAAACACATTGCTTTAATATTGATAGATATTTCTCCAAAATCTTATATTTATTTATTAGTGCCATTAAGAAACAAATGGCTTTCATATTAGCCAGACACAATATAAACTTTTTGGAACTGAATGAAACTGAATCAGAAGATGGTCAAAATAATTCTCACGTTCAAGAGATAACAGAAATTTTATCCAATTCACAGTTAAATACCCATTTTATGTCATTGGCCCGTGAACTGGATATCATGGAACCAAAGGTGCCAGAGGACATTTACAAATCACATCTAGATCCTATAAGTAATTTTGAAAATTTTAAATATACTATATAATGTTATATTTAATTGATTTTGTCTATATTTAAAGTGGAGGTAAATTCTCACAAACTTTTTGACCTTTTTGGCCCAGTTCTTTGCAGACTGCCATCCAGATGAGCCTTTAGATTTTGGCCCAATTAGAACCAAATATTAAACCATGATACTATATTACATATTAGCATTATAAATTTATAACTCCCTCCCCCCCCCTCTTGTTTCCCCTTTTTTATATAAAAAAATATCACCATTTACCTGGCCTTTTAAATAATACTTTTTTAAAAATTTAATTATTGTGGAAAGCTATTAAATCACCAATATTAAATTCCTTTGGAAAAAAACGAATCTGCAAATATATAATAATGTTATATTCAGGACCTACCTTTGGACCTAGTGGAACTAGCGGATTGGTAGTAGATTCAGCCCGCCAAAACTTAGCCTCCTCCTTCGTTAACGGGTTTGTTAATGCTGGATTTGGTCGGGACAAGCTCATCACCATTGATGGTGGCAACAAGTGGATCTACAAAAATAAGGACCATGGTAAATTGCTTTAAAAAAAATTCTTGCGAGTTTATCTAAGGATGAAGTTTAAAAAAAATTCTTGGAGTTTAACTAAAGATGAAGTTATTATTGTTTTTTTTATAGTAATGGTCAGTTTAAGCAATAAATTGCACCAATAGAATATTTTATTAATCCTGTATTAGGGTCATTCCATGTCAAATCAATCACTTTTCGGCCGACCCCTTTCGATTTCGATGAAAAATCGTAGGCTGGTTATATATGTTCCCATTAGATTATAAACAAAATTTTAGCGCATTAGCAACTATATTAGTGGAGATATTCGGGGTTAAAGGTCTAAAAAACGTCTTTTTTTGCTTTTTACTGATGTTAAATAACTAGTTTTTAATTTTAAACTAAATATGATCAAATATTGAATATAATATCAATAGCTAAGTTAATAATTGATGATTATGGCGAAAACATCAAAATTAATTTTTGATAAAATATGGGTCATCTTATGGTCAGTTGAAAACTTGAAATTAATATTTCGAAATGTATATGATCTCCGATTTTTAATTTTTTTAAGAAATATTATCCGTTTACTATTTTTTTAATAATTTCTTCAACAATTAGCATGGCTGGATATTTATTTTAAAAAATATTGCGATTTTTATACTTTAAAAAAAATAGATGGCGCTATATATAATAGTTTTAATATGTTAAAATTCATTTTTTTTATTGATTAAAAATATTTTAATGTATATATATCATACTAAATCGATTACAATGTCCATTATATATTTTTATTTGTAATTCAGATCATAAATCTTTAAAATCTTAACAAATTTAGCCTAATTTAGATAGTTTTTAAATTAATTAAATCTTACTTCATCTAAAGGAATACAAAGCCTGGCTAGCTTGTGAGATTTCTTCGGGAGATAATATATATGTTTGACTGGTAGGAGTAGAAGGATTGACCAGCGAGAGTATATGAGATTTAGGCAACACTAAAATATCATCTTTCAGAGGAAATTTAAATGAGGCTGAAGGTCCACAAGGGTGTAAAAATTGGATTTTTACTTCTTTATTTATATCATTTTTATCGATTATATATCCTAACCACCACTTATCATCATATACACATGTTATATATCCATTAATATTTTAAAAATTAATTTTCTCATTTAAATACGAAACTTGTTTTATATTATATTTTTTGGAATTAGAATATATTTTGGTTTTTAGTCTATTTTGATCAATGGGAATAACCCCGTGAATTTTTTGGGTCCCATGTATAAGCAGTGCATTAAATCTTTTACGAAGGGCTAATTCCTCTTCGATATATTCTTGATTGGATACATATTCAAATTGAATTCCATTAATATTTTCTTTAGCATAATTATATAATTCTAATGGGGTTAGGATTTGATTTTTATTTGGCCTTTGAAGACTAGCTCTGGCAACTAATCTTTTGACAGTTCCTCCAATACCGTCACATGCATTTTTGCGGTGAGCAGTGGCAAAGAAATGCCATTCGGCAGGAATATTAAAATCGTATTTATGAAGACATATGTTCAGAAAAATTTTGCGATTCTTGTATTGAGACGCGGCTTCATCTGAAAAATATATTATTTTTTCTGGTTTAGAATTAAATTTGGATAAAATAACAAAATTTATATTTTTTAATTCTTCTCCAGATTTATAATATGCTACAAATGGATGTATAGTGGCCTGCACGTTGTTCCAATGAAATCCCTGAACTTCATCTTGTAAAATGAAGGAATAATTCTCAGAATAATCTAGAATTGTTAAAAATTCCCCATCTATTAAATTTTTCTACATTTGTCATCAATTTCACATTCTGATGAATGGCGCAGACACAAACAGTGTGTGTGCCACTAGCTCCAACTAAAATACAGTTTTTTGGTCTAAGTTCGGCAAATTTAGAGAATCCAATTGATATATTTGGGTATTCTTCCTTAAACATCTTGAATATTTATTTAAGCTTATTTAATATAAATCTTTGGACTGATTCTTTCTCGCCTTTAACAGATACACAATCTTTTATTCCAGGCATGAGTCGGCTTATTTCATCAGAACTATAATTTTGTTTATTTTTATTACTTAAAAAATTTTTCAAAATCTTCGAAATTTTCTTTATCTCTGGTTATTTTAATAATTTAAGATAATGACAATTTCATAACATTCTTGATCTTGATGGGTATGACTTAGTCAGGGGGGAAGGGGTATGCCTGATAATTAATGTGATTTTCGATTTTTCCCTTAATAATTTTCCTGCACTCCTTTAATCCTGCCTTTTTGCTCGTATGCTAGTCGGATTTTTTAATTATTTTTAATTTACATTGAAATATTAAAAAAATTATTAAATTTTTTTATCCTGCGAATATCTCAGGGGAATAAGGTTTACAAAGTTATATAATCCAATTTTATGATATATTATACATTAAAATATTTTTAATCAATAAAAAAATGAATTTTAACATATTAAAACTATTATAAATAGCGCCATCTATTTTTTTAAAAGTATAAAAATCGCAATATTTTTTTAAATAAATATCCAGCCATGCTAATTGTTGAAGAAATTATTAGAAAAATAGTAAACGGATAATATTTCTTAAAAAAATTAAAAATCGGAGATCATATGCATTTCGAAATATTAATTTCAAGTTTTCAACTGACCATAAGATGACCCATATTTTATCAAAAATTAATTTTGATGTTTTCGCCATAATCATCAATTATTAACTTAGCTATTGATATTATATTCAATATTTGATCATATTTAGTTTTAAATTAAAAACTAATTATTTGACATCAGTAAAAAGCAAAAAAAGACGTTTTTTGGACCTTTAACCCCGAATATCTCCACTAATATAGTTGCTAATGCGCTAAAATTTTGTTTATAATCTAATGGGAACATATATAACCAGTCTACAACTTTTTAACGAAATTGAAAGGGGTCGGCCAAAAATCTTGATTTTTTTGCTCATTTGACATGGAATAACCCATTATAATAAAAAGTTTTAAATCATTAAGTCTAGGTAAACCAGAAAGAAATCGTTTTTCTTCTTGTTTTTTATAATTTATAATCGAAACATAATAACTTCATGATATCAAATCTTGTAGAGCATACTATAATACCTTAGTTATCTCTAAAATGTCAATTATAATTGTTTTTTCCCCAAACTATCATTTATATATTTTTTTAGCTATGATGAGTGCGACAGCTTCTTTAGGCTTGATATACTTATGGGATGTTGACATAGGATTAGCTCAAATAGATAAATATCTGTATCCCTCTGAAGAGTACATCAAAGTTAGAATATTTTATGATTCGCTCTGATATATTTTTATTCCCCTAATAGAGCTTTCAAAAATCGATTTATTGGATGAAATCATGGTTTTTAAATATTTGAATTAAATTTTTATTGTATAAAAATATAACCTCGAGGAAAATAAAATCCTTATATAAAGTTATTAATAAAATATGCTGTCATTTTATTAATTAAACATCAGTTTCCCCTCGAAATTTATCATTAAACTAGCAATAAAAATATTTTATGTTATTAATATAATATCTAATATTTGCCCATTTAAAAGAATTTTAAATACATTCTGATGAGTATATATTTTATGATTAAATTTTATTGTTAACAATATTTGAATATTTTAAAGATTTATTTATCCTATATATAATTATAGAATTAATATTAAACTGCTTCTCAAACAAATTTAAAATTAATATTAATTAAACTTAGGACAGAATATTAATTTTAAATAAAATTTATTATAATTTTTATAAGAGTTTTTCATGATTATCCCAACATCAATTGTAAAAATATAATTGGCAATTAATTAAAAAAAACTTCTAGATGCCAAATAATAAAATGAGGTAAAAATAAAATGTCTTTATTTGAAAATGAAAAACTAATAATTATTTAAAATCCAAGCAAAAAAAGAAACTTATCTAAATCAATTTGATTTAATCATGCTAACCCTAATCTCTCACCCCCCCCTCACTCTACAAAATTATTTTGCTACCCCGCTTTCAAATAAATATTGGAATATGATTTAATTAACAACAAATAATATATTTTTTTGTATCAGAATTGAGATTTATAATGTCTTTTATTATACACAACGTAATAAATCTAAAAATGGATTTCTATATAACTTAGGCAGAGATTTATATCACTTTTTTCAATTTTCTTTATAAATGAATTCTTCAGTTCTTATATATTCAAAATAATGTTAAAATTTAATCGAGAATTATCCTTATTACATTTGTGATCTATTATTTAAAATGCAAGAATAATTTTTAAATGCTCTCCTGAACAATTTTTTTTTAAATGGATATAGAATACTATAACACTCAGCCGACAAATATATTACAGCTATATAATTATAAAACTACAATTTATTACTTTTTGCTATATCTTTATTTAAAAAAAGGCGGGAGCTTTGTTGGCATGTGGGATAGTTAACACTGGTGTCAAAAATGATTGTGATCCCGCGCTTGCTCTTCTGTCCGACTACGTTACAAACGAAAGTTCTATTTTAAGGATAGCCTCTTTCATTGGGTAAGTTTATTACATGTTAGATCGTTATCAGGCTCTACCTATAACTAAAAAAAAAATTTTTTGTTATCTGAAAGATTGGGACTTGCTTATGCTGGATCTAAGCGTGCAGACGTTTTAAGCTTGTTGATAGACGGACTTAAAGATCCTAAATCAAGCATGGAGGTATTACCATCTTATTTTTTTTATGTATTATAAGCTTTTGTATTCTGAAAATTTATCTCTTTTTTATGAATTGAAAGAGAATTAATATCTACCATATTTAGAGCTATATTTTATATTAACATTTTTGAATAGTCAAATGGAAAAGTTTCTATAAATTTTTTTTAAAAATAGCTTCCTATATAACTATGTTATAGGTCATAGGTATAGCGGCTCTTTCTTGCGGCCTCATAACGATAGGTACCCAGTCGCCGGATCTAACCACTGCCATTTTCGGTGTTTTACTTGAACGCAGTGAAACTGAGCTGAGAAGCAATCTTCAAGCTTGCAGATTCATAGCACTGGCTTTGGCTTTGACTAATTTGGGTAATAAAATATTTTTTAACAAAATTTTTGACAATCTTATTCACAAAAATGAGTCTGAAGGTTAGTAAATAAAATATTGTTGTTCTTAGCAAACAACTTTGACACTGAATCAGTTGAAATAATGTTACATGATTAATACCATATTTATTTGGGTCTTAAAATTTACAAAAATAAATTAGGTAAACAAGACAGCGTGGAAGTAGTGTTCGCGGGTCTTCAAGCTGTCGTAGAACCCATTAGGAGTATGACAAAGACTTTAGTCGAGGCCTGTGCCTACGCAGGTATAGTTATTTATAGGATTTATATTTATTTTTTTAAACTAAAACTTTTATTTCGTTAAAAAAGTGTTGAAAAAGAATATATTCTAAGGTTCGATATAATATTTTAAATAAAAATAAAACAATAAATGATATTGGCAGGGTGATATCACTAGCTTTACAAGTTTCTATCATTTAATAAATGTTCCGGAGAGTTTGGTAAAAAGTTTGACTTGACATGATCGAGAAAACATTTTGCCTAAATAGGGAAATAAAATTTTATTAATATACTATTCATGTGACTATAAAGCGACACCATTGATTAAATCCTCTACTGGGCGGGCAGCAGCTTATATAGGTCATTCCATGTTAAATTGACCAAAAACATTATTCTTTTTGACACATTTTAGTGGATGAATATTCTTATATAAACTAAGGTTTTTGTAATCTATACTATGGCAAAATTTTACTTCCTACCTTTTTCACTTTTGAAGATATTTAAGGTCAGAGCATGAAAAATACTTTTTTTGATAGTATCTTTAACGCAATTATATTTAATAAATCTTGTGTCAAAATAAAGAATATACTTTTCTTATTTAGAAAATAAAAGTAAAAAAATTATTTATAAATTTATCGACCTCTTATTTCCAGGATAAAATTTAAAATTCTCATAACGAAAATTGGGTAGAACTGATTTTTATAAAACTTAAGATAAACATTACTATTACCATTTTATATGAGTATAAAAAAATGAGAGTGGCGCCTATGCGACTTCATAAACAAAATCGATAAAACTTTAAAAAATGAAAAATATATTTTTTAATTGTAGATGGCGTTTAATTTTAATGAGCTTTATTCTTAAAAATGTGTCTATATGATTATTTCCAAAGTTGTTAGCATCTAAAAATGGAGCGGATACAGATACAATTTTATCAAACTTATATACATGGTTCGCTGTTGTTTTAGAACAAAGACTCTTATTATGAGAGCACAAAATATGTAAACAAGATAATAATAAAAAAATGTCAATACCCATATTTTTATCATTCTTTCGAACAAATTCTCCTTTTAATCGATTACATTAAACTTATAATTTATTCATTATAATTCAGGGGAGTATCTATAAAATTGTTTTTAAAAATTATAAATAAATTTAAATTTTAAAATAATTATGTGCATCTATGGTATTTATTTTGAAATTAATGGGCGTCATGGCTAAACAAGGATTTATATATTCCTTTAACAAATTAAGCGCTTGCGTTTGTAATACGTTTTTTAACGTACATGATGAAAATATCCTTCACAATCTTGAACTGATATTTACAGATTAAATGGAGAAAGAAAAAAATTTTTTAATGAATATTTTATATATAAAAGTTTTAATTTTATATATAAATTTTAATATTTTTATATATAAGTTTTAATATTTTATATAAGTTTTAATAATTTTATATATGTTTTAATATTTTATACATATATATTTTTTTTAATTTTATTAGTCTTAGTGTTTTCTAATATATATTTATTTTAATTATATTGCTGATATAAATAAAAGGAATTTGCATTAAATATTTTTATTTTAAGTATAAAAGCGTTAAATAAAATTATATCAAAATGTATCCTAAAAACAGACACTATCTTCTCTACGATCTTCCAACAGAAGAACCGGTTTGGCATGGAATGACCCATATATTTTATTTTTAAAAATTGTCTCCTAAAAAACATAATAGGCATGTGCAGGGTTAATATTATCGATATATTTAAAAATTAATAAATTGAAATTGTGATTTTTTTAAAATCTATCTTACAGGAACTGGTAACGTTTTAAAGGTCCAGGAATTTTTGCATATATGCAGTGAACATTACGAAAGCGATTCGAAAGTAATATTTTTTTCTAAAAATATATTTAAAATACATTCAATAAAGAAAGAAAGATAAATAAAAGAGAAAGGTAGAGATAAATAAAAGAGAAAGATCCATGTCAAATCGTTTACAATTTGGCCGATTCTTTTTAAAATTTTAAAAATTTCAATAAGAAATCCGATTATTTTGCTCGCTTGTATATCTGGTTTCTTCCGAGATACTGGGCCTCTAAGGTGCGAATAATAGCTACTTTTGAATCTGTAAAATTTTTAAAATGCTTATATTCAAAAACTATCTGTAGTAAATAAATATAATATATCATATTGTAAGAAAAAAATATCTATAAAGGTTTATCTAAAGAAAATAATTGGCGTCGAGAGTCTTTAACCCACGATTTACCTATATTGCTTTACCCGGAAAATTTTTTGGCTTTTATTTGGATTCTTTTTATAAATATATATATACGATGTGAAAACCTTGACTACCCTATCAGCTCCGAAATTTGCATTCATACCAGAATTTAAATTTTTTATTTGCCTGGAATAGATGGCGCTATACGAAACACGGATTAAAATTTTATATCTAAATTACCAATTGAACTGAGGGGCAGTGAATGCCCCTTAGACATCTAAATAATGTTAGAATCTCCAATAATAAATCCTTTATATAATTTTTTTTATTATTCATTTTTATTAATGATATAGAAATATGGATAGATAATCAAATTCATTCCATAGTGTAACAAAATATAATTAATTTATGTATCCATCATAGATATCCTTTATTTTTTCCATATATTAAATTCGCATTGATATTCGAGTGGAATGTTATATTTAATATTCGCGATTCTGCAAATTTGAATAAAATTTACCCTCAATTTTATTCTGAGATTAAATCAAATAAATTATGAAATTTTTGCTTTCCTGGTATTGTACGCACTTTATTGAATCTCTCTTCTAAAATTATTTGCTCTTTCTTCATTTTTGTTCTTTCATAATATTGGAAAAATCTATTCCTTAATATAAAATTTTTTTATAATATATATTATTAATAAATTAGGAATCTTATATCTTTAATATTTTCCTTAGAGTGGCCAAAATCCTATTAGTCTCCGTCACAACCAGTTGGCCATGAGATATGGTCCAAAAATGCCACTCAACTTTTATCCGAAATAATCTTCATGGTGGCAACGAAAATTAGAAGAATTTTTTTGAGCGGCATGGAAATTTCTCTTTTAAATGGCAGACTAAATATTTTTGGAATAAATGAACGGCAATTGTATTATGAATGAGAGACTCCGATATTTTTACGTAACTTAAAAGATCCAAATTATTAAGTGTTTTGTAATAAATTACAAGAATGAATAACTTGCGCTTTATTCTAGGGAAATCCTTGTACTCCATCTTGAACCACAAAGACATGATTTTCAGCAGAATTTGCCTGAAGGATATATCCTTCATTTAAATTCATTTTAATAGAATTTATGCTTGCTATAAAAGGTTTTTTATAAGCAAATTGAAATTTTTACAGGTGCTTAAATCTTCAGTTGTCGCACCTTTGAGGTTCTATATATCGGGAACCAGGTTTGGTAGTCATCTAAAATAAAAGCTTTTCATTTTTTTTACCTATATAAATAATTCCAGAAAATTTTGTAACAATTTTAAAAGGGGTCGGCCGTAAATGTGCTTTTTTGATCAATTTGGCATGGAATTGCCCAAGTACGAATTTGAGATTTAAAGTTAAAAGCCTTTAATCTATCATTAAATAGTCACTTATGTGTGGGATTTATTTAGGAGTTTTATACTGTATTCAGAACAGAATATTATGACTCATCGCTATCATTCTGCATCTCGTTTATTTATTCATTCATTGCTTAGCCCTCCTCCCAACTTTTATCCTCTGATCTATTTACGATTTCCTAATTTTAAACCCTCCCACTCTTACGTATACCTATAAAAATACGAATCAAATAATGGAATTATTCATATTCTAACGAATAATAAAATGTTTATTCGATTCGAAAATCTTATTTAACCATTAATTAAAAAATACCGAATATTAAATTTATTTTGTAAAATTTAACTACGGATAAAAAACAAACAAATTTTATTAGTAAGATAAAATAGAAGCATACATATAAAGTATATTTATATATAATGTAGAAAAATCAATATAATATTCATATCATGTAGAAGACAAATCTGACAAATTTTTTAAACACAAAGTTTTTCGGATTGTATCCTCTTATAACTTCTATATTTGGTAACCATATGCGTTCCAACAAAAAAAGTCGCATCCTTGTATTGATAATATATCTCACCATTTTAGATAAAACGAAAAAACGATCTTCTAGTAGTTTCCACCATTCTAGTGGGTTTTCATTCGACGTGATTCTCGCTTCTTTTAAATATGTTTCAACTTAATAAATTGGCAAGACATTCTTGTTTAAAAATTACGTCCTATTAATGGTTGACTGAGATACATCATATTTTATTTTATAATCATCGAACATTTTCTTAAAATTAAATATAGTTGTAACGTTGATATTATAAGATGAGGTAGGCACTCAAAAAATTCCAATTCAAGTCTGAGATCTAATATAGCAGATATAATAGTTTCCAAATTCTAAAATAAAGTATGCAAAACTCACATCTAGCACAAATAAGTAAAATTTATGATTTCTCTATCATCAAACGAAGGAGAAATATCTGGTTTCCGTCATTCTTGACTGAATAGCTACTAGTTTATTATAATTGTATATGTGTTATAAATTGCATATAAAAATAAATACTTTCTTGTCCATTATAAAAAAAATTTCAAGTTTTTTATGAAGTTATTCGAATAAAAATAGCCGTTAACAACAATTTTAGATCCACTAGGAAATTTTATTAAATAGGAATAATTTCAAATAATTCCTACTAATAATATATGATTATTTTCCAATATTTTTTAACACTATAAATTATTTTAGTCGAATAATCTCGAATAATTCTATTGAATAATAGGGAAAAAATTATTGACGAATAATATATTTTCCATATGATTATTTTCCAATATTTTTTAACACTATAAATTATTTTAGTCGAATAATTCTATTGAATAATAGGAAAAAAATTATTGACGAATAATATATTTTCCTTATACGAATTCGATTCTAATTTTCGAATCGAATAATTTTGTTATTCATAAAATACTAATCGAGTCGAATAACAAATAATTCGTTTTAAGTATACTCTTACTTAGAAAACTGCACGGGCTGTCCGTTGCTCGACCCGAGGCTCGGGTTGGGTTTGGACATTAAAAAATATTTTTCGGGCTCGGGTCGGGTTGTAAGAGCTGTCCGACCCGAAACCCGACCCGAAAAATATATTTATATAGATATTCTAAATTATAATTCATAATGACAATTATAAAACCATATCATATTTTATTTTTAAAATATCAATCAGAATAACATATCATTTTCAATTATTATATTTACATAACAACCATACCCCAAACTATTTTATGTGATTACATTTTAGTACATTGCATTGGATAGTTAGCGATATTATTATATACTTTACTTTCATCATATTCTATCAAAGTAAATAAAATATATTTTACTAATATCTATTTAATTAAATAGCCTCATATTTTCATATTAAAAAAATTATTTCAATGGATGCCGTATTAAAAAAAATTGGTGAAAAGATTAAGAGCAATGAATATGAAGTAAGGGAAAATGCCATGGCAAATCTGCGGTCTGGAAAACGTTTTCATTTATAATGAAAACAAAGAAAACCATAATTATGTAAGTTGTAATTTTTGCAACTTATAATTCTATAACCACATACATAAAATATATATTATGAAATTATTTTAGGCATAAATGCATATTTACAATAAAATGTAAAAAGACTCAATTAACAATTGATGGTCTTTTTGGTAATGATCCCATAAAACTCAAAAGTTGTGCTTGAGATCATTTGATGCAATTCACTGGGAAGGCTTTGTTGATTGTTGCCAGTATTTTGCCAAAATTGGCTCAATATATGGAAATATTGATGTTAAAAGCATCATTCCAAATCTCACGACAATTTCTAAAAATAAAATAGACACTGTTGATGGTATACACAATAAATTATTTCCAAAATTAAAGCAATATGAAAAAGGGTCGTGTTGATAACAAATATATGAAAATATGGTTAAATTATTTATAATCTTTAGATTCGATTGTATTTTAACTTTTTTATTATATCTTTTACAAATTAAATAAAATGCAACTTAATATATATCTTGATTAGATTATGGCCCTCAAATAAACTTTTATTTAAGGTGGCGATGAATAAATACACATAATTTTTTTTGGTTATTATAATATTCAAACTCAAATTGTAAAATTTTATTCGGGCTCGGGTCTGGTTAAACTAAAATGTGTGCAGGTTGGGCTCGGACAAAATGATTTTTTAATTCGGACTCGGGCTGCGAAAAAATTACTTTGCAGTCTACTCTTACTACATTTGGTATAAATTTCTATCATCATTATGACCTTTAAGTGATATATCAAATGCCGTCATTAAATATACCATTTCTTACATGTCTCTACTTCTGTTAGAATCAATGTAAAATTTGTAGTATTCTTTTAAAACCAGTGTTGTCCACGTTTCGAATCTATTTGCTAACCCCCCCCTCTCCATCCTAATTTAATTAGAATCTTGTAGAATCAAACTTGTTTTTAAAAACGATCACTGTTAAAACAAATTTAAATTATATTGTTCAAATTAATATATTAATTTTATTGTTACATAGAGGAAATTTTTAATTATTTTTACAATAAGTATTCTTAAATATATCATATCTACCTGGTTTACAAACATAATATGCAAATAAACAGAATATTATTCTTATTTGACTTTATAATGTGGCAATAGAAAAGCTCTGACACTGCTAACACCTCATCGACTAGCAAGAAGGAATCGAGCGCCGATAAACTAGCCAAAAATCTGAGCTCTCTTCTTTCTTCCTCTACTTCCTCGCCTAATCCCGCTAAATTAACTACTCCCTCGAGCGCTGGTGGAAAATCTTCCAAGAAGAGCAGCGCTAAATCTAGTACCAAGCCTCCCATTGCCAGCGTTTCTTCTACGAAAATCGAAAAAAGTAGTGAAAAGACTGAAGAGAAAAACGAACTTGGCCAAACAACTTCTACTGCAGGAGAAAGTTTTATTTTATTGTATAGTTAATAATGTATAAGAATTATATAATCTTATATATTTATTTCATCCTTATAATTTTGTTTCGTTTAAATAACATGAAAGGAGTTGAAGCGGTTGGCTGTCCTAGAGGTCTGCAGGGGGGGGGGATGAGTTCGCCCCTGCCTGCCCATATTGTGGATGTAGGCGAACGATCTAATAATTTAAAAAAATGTATTTTTAAAACAATGGACTGACGGGATTTGAAATAATATTTATTATTTTCATATGAAAATACATTATCAAGCCAATTTATATAAAAAATTTTTAAACATCGGGTGCTGTCTGGATGAATAAATTTTTTTGATAAATGGTCGGGCGAATTTTAATAAAAACTGTAGGTGGGCGGACAAACCGGTTAATTATTTAAAGCAATAGGAGGGGCAGGTGTTTGGTTAAAAACGATCCCATTGTAGTCCTCTAGTTTGTCCTAGATGGGTGTTTAAAAAGGATAAATTAAGCACTTCAATACTCCCTAACTCTTTGAATAAGCCTCTGAAAAAGGTTAGAATAGTGTTCTTCAAGAGAATTTAATTAAAAATTGAATGGTATTTACTTTTTTAATAAAATGTTATCGTAGGATTTTTAAATGAGAGTAACAATTAATATACATCTGTCATAGAGCAAGTTAAGATAACTTTCGATCAAGTATCACCATGTTGAAACTATTTTCCAAAATTAATTAGAAAAACATTAACCAAATTGAATTAAACGCGTAAAATATGTACAGGCAGCTCGAAGATAGTGGAAAACGAAGTTAAAGCCATGGATGAGGATGCCATAGAAATGGAAGGAGTAATTAAAGAAGAAGCCATTATTGATGATACGAAAGATAGAAAAGGGGTTACCAAAGATGCCGACCCAAAGATTGACGTTTATGAAGACCTTTCTTCCCAGCAAAGTTTGGCTGTCATTGGCATAGCCTTAATCGCTATGGGAGAAGACATAGGCGCTAACATGAGCTTTCGCACGTTCGGACACTTGGTTCACATTCTAACATTTTATTTTAAAATTATACTACAGTTTTTTTTAAAAAAGGAGGTAAGAGGGAGGGGGGGGGGGTTTATTTGTCACTTTTTGATGTTAGGTTAAATCCGCAAACGCTTGTTATTTTTTTGAAAATTAAATATTATATTTTGTAGTCTAAATATAATTCATAAATTTACTACATTTATAATCCACATTATATTTTTTTTTAAATTCTCAAAAACACTTGATTAGTATTCTTATCAACAATTTCTTGTTTATGTATCCAAAATTAAAATTTCAGAAGTTTTAGAATTCCTATTATATACTTTCTTTTTCCCCTAAACCCCCTTATTCCAATATTAACTTTTCTCCTCAGCACAAAATTACGTGTATATGACTTTTTTTATTGTAGATGAGATATGGTGAGCCTGTTATAAGAAGAGCTGTGCCTTTGGCCCTGGCCTTGATATCTGTTTCGAACCCTTCTAATCTGAACATAGTCGACACCCTCAGCAAATTTTCCCACGATACCGATGCGGAAGTGGCACAAAACTCTATTTTTGCCATGGGAATAGTCGGAGCAGGTTTGATTTCGCTTCATTATTTTATTTTTAGAATGATAATTATGAGGGGAGAAAACTAAACGTAAGCTAGATAATTTGATATTTATTTGAGATGGGTGATCTCGAAGATAAATCATTCGAAATCATTAATAACTTCACTAATAAAATACCTACCAAGGCACAAACAACGCCCGCCTAGCTGCGATGCTCCGACAGTTAGCCCAATTTTACTCCAAGGATTCGCACAGTAACCTACTTTTCGCGGTTAGAATAGCCCAAGCGCTCATACATGCTGGAAAGGGAACCCTCACCCTATCGCCTTTCCACTGCGATAGGCTTTTGGCTAGACCGGTGAGTTTAGCCGGTTTGCTCATAGTTCTTGTCTCTTTTCTGGATGCCAAAAATAGTATTTTTTATAAAAAAAAATTTTAAATCGGGAATTGCTTAAGATTTTAGACAAATAGTTGATAAAATACTGTGCTTAAATAGTATAGAGATTGAGTGCAATTTAAAATACGCCACTCCCCATTAGTGTTGACCTCAATTTCGCCGATTTTTTTAAAACTAGTAAATGAAAATTTTAGCTAATTTTAAAAAAATGGCTAAATCAAAGACTTTACAAGACTACTTTTTAACTCAATTTTTTCCCAATATAATTTAAAACGCTAAAAAAAATTTGGCCTGTTTTTTATTCGTTCTTTAAATTAATATATCTCAAAAAAAATTAATTATAAGAAATAAATATATATTTCGTATGTGTTAGCAATACTCTCTTCATATTTAAAATATTTATTAAATGACACTCTTTTTATATTCAACTTATTAATCGCGCCCCATACAGCTATTCTAGGTAAAGGTCATTATCTGTTGTACTATTTGACCGTGGCTTTGAGGCCAAGATTTTTGATAACTTTCGATCCCAGCTTAAATCCTATATCAGTCTCCGTCAGAGTTGGACAGGTAAATAAACTATAATATTAATTTCAATTTTTTACCTTCTTTCATAATGTGACGATGATCAAATTTTCTTTAAACTAACTATAGGCAGTTGACGTAGTTGGGCAAGCTGGGAAACCGAAAACAATTACCGGTTTTCAAACTTACACAAGTCCAGTTTTGCTCGGATATGGTGAAAGAGCCGAATTGGCTACGGAAGAATACCTTAGTCTTTCCCCGCATCTTGAAGGTTTTGTTATCCTCAAGAAAAATCCTAATTACATGGATTGAAAACCAATATTTTATGTAATATTTAATGTTTTTTTTTCTCGTTTTTCTTATATTATAAATTTTATATAAAAAAAATTGTATCGAATCCTATATATTTCCTTTAATACATATATTTTATAAATATTATCTCTCGCGTCCTTTATAATATGCTTATATTGAAATAAGAGTGTTTTAAAAACACTCTTAATATTTCGAACATATATATGTATAAATATTCCAAATAAACGATATCGGCCTGATGTAGTATTGTTTAAGTTGCATTTGAAAAATAGTTACAAGTTTTACCATCACAAAAAAGTAACTAGGATATATTCTTCAAGGACTAAATTTTTATTTTTTAAATAATAATGATTTGCAAATTTTAATTTCATGTGAATTACTCTTACATAGGGCTGTACCGATCCACAAATTTTTCACTGATCCGATCTGATATGATATTACTAAAAAACCGATCAGATATTTATATTAATTTTTATTAACCATCTATTTTTGTATCAATGTCGTAAAAATATCAATATTTTTATTTTTTTTAAAAAACTATCTTTACGAATAATTAAGTGTGTTTTATTTTAATGTTTATTGATGAATGTAGTGTTGTTAAACAGCTCTATTTAGTCGATTTTTAAAAAGGTTTAATCAAAATTTTAACCAAAATATGATAATTTCGTCAATAGAGTCCAAACTTTTCTGTCATCTGTGAGCAAAGTCAATGAGCATAAGTAATTTACTTAAGTCAAAATCTTAAGTTAACCGTTTTTAAAATTGGCTAAATCAAGCTGTTTGCCAAAACTAGATGAATGTGACTCGTTAGGTGTTTTAAAATCCTTTTCTTTTTGTAGATGATATATAACGAAAAATAGTGTGTATTTTAAACAATTTTTTTAAACATTACAAATAAATTGTATTTTAGTTCCTTTCAGAAATTATTGATAAAATAAAAAAAAATTATATAATTAACAATAAAAAATATCGGATCGGTTTTTTAAAAGTTCGGCTCGATCCGATATTTTTGAAAATGTTAAATATCGATGCCCATTCTTAATATCGGCACAGCCCTACTCTTACATCTAATCTAACTAAAATTTAGTATTATTATAAGACAATTTGCTATATTGTTCATTACAGCCTTTTCCTTATGAAATGCAAAAATTTTTCAAAGGTTGGTCAAGATAACCTTATGACATTTGATTCAGATGTAGTAATTATATTTAAAATGGCGAATATTTGAAATTCACTACTTAATAAATATTTACAACCTTGATAATACATTTGCATTTAAATCACAGGTATGCAAATGGTCAAATTTTTATATCTACTCCGCATTAAAAATCATTTTATGCCAAGGCTAAGATTTTTAAATTTTTTTAATTATTTTGGCTTCTATTTTATATTTCTAAAAAATTCGTAGGAAAATTAACAAACATGAGCAAATGAATGCTAAATATATTATTTATGATTATCCAACTAGTTAATTTATAATATTTTAAAAATTTTCTCCGATCTAGGTTATGTGAAAAAAATTATTTGTAAGGCTCAGGTTTGTGTTATTTATTAATTTTAAGCTCGTGCAAATTTTTATACCACTTTACGGATCTGATTTCGGGCATGCGGGTTTGATTTTAATCTTTTTGAATAAAATGCTACTTAAAAGTAAGGAGGTGGAACGAATTTTTAGTAAACATGGAATTACTTATTAAGAAAAAAATATAAACAAAACTTTATTAGGATATTGGCGCAGTGACTGTGTAAAATACAATATATTTTATCAATTTAAATTTTTTTTTGAAGTGAATCGTTTGAATTAATCGAATAAAAGTTCGATTGTCTCATAATAGTCACTCTGTGAAGTCAAGTAATTGTGAAGGGTTGCACACTCAAGGTTTTACCTGCCATCAAAGCATATAAGTGAATCTTTTAAAATATACTTCGATGCAATGATTTAAGTATAAAGTGTTTTAATTAAAATTACACAATCTGATATTTTGCGCGCAAGCTGATCTCAATGTTTTTGACCCGATAGTAGGTATATAAATGTCCTTGTTACGTATGAATTTCTTTTAAAGCGTAATCGATTGTTGCGATTTTTTAAAATATTTATTTTATAATGAGTATTTTAAATTATAATTTCTTATACCCTATAATGGGGATTGATAACCACTCATGCTTATTACACCTTGTGTAATACTTTATATAATCGAAATTTTTAGCTTGTCTATAATAAAATCGTGTGGCGAAAATAGGGACGATATTCAAGGCGCTTTTGTAAGCATCACTCCATTTTAAAATGATCAGAAAATATAATGTCATGTTTTATTATAAAAGGATTATCTCCAAAAATATAGTTATATTGAATCAAAAGGGGGTCAGTTATCGGCCAATGCAATCCCTGCCATCCACGCTAAGGAATTGATGAAATTTCAAATGATGGCCCATATACCAGTAACCGGTAATATTATGAACTCATTTAAAATTTGGATATTCATTTATATTTTCAAGGAGTTTTAGACAATAAAACTTTACAAGCAATGAAGTGGAAAAGATGTGGATTGCCAGACAACGGTAGGCAGATAAATGTCATCCCTAAACGGAGCGCACTACGAAGAGTTAAAAGGTATTCATTGGAAGGTATAAAACATGATTGGCATAACAGTTTTATCTTATTGTGGATGCGTTAATGCTTTTTGATATAAAATTATATTAGGTAGCAAATGGGGTGTCAGCGAAATTAGATACAAGATCAGCAAATATGCCAAGCATTTTGCTAAGGCAAAGATTGACCGAGAAATTAGAAAATCTTTCAATGTAATATAAATATAATGAAATAACTTATATAAATTTTAATCAAAACGTGTGTCATATAGTAGGCGATCTAATACAATTTTTCTTTTGAGTTTTGATTTCGTATTATAAGGCCTAATAGCCAAAGTTTTTATGGGAGGGGGCATTTTACCCCACAAATTAGAACCCAATTCGCATGTCTCTGTCCGGATCTGTCCCGGGTAGTTTTTTTAATAGACGCTATTTGATACAGACCGGTATTTACTGCCGGCCTCTGTTTAAAATTTATATGCCTTTATCAAGGTTTGGGCTAAATATTGCAATCTGACTTTCAAGCAAATGAAGATCTACGATACTAAACATGTTCATATAAATATCCGATGGGTAAGTGGTGACCATGGAGATGGCATACCATTGGATGGGCCAGGATTAGTAGTAGCTCATGCATTCTTCCCTGACGAAGGTGGGGCTGTTCATTTTGATGATGCTGAAGTCTGGACAGATAAATTCTTTATCGCTGGTAGATCTTTACCGTTCATGTTTTATTATAACCTATATACGTAGGCTCTAATTTATAGTATGATAAATATAGATTTTTAAAATTAGACCTGGTCTGAATTTCAGGTCGAGCTTTTCGGGACAAATAAAAAAGTTTTTCGGAATCTGGCGGACAAATTTTTTTTTAAATTTTGGGCCTGGATATAGAAATTAAACCGATACAGTTCACTAATGATCGACGCTCTCTAGACCCCGTCCCCTTGCATTAATAACGCTGAGCCCTCCCACTCCGGTGACTGATTAAATTGTAAAATAGGTATTGACGGAATCCCCCAGATTTTAATGACATAATTGATTCTTACTCCCACTCCCACCCCCCTCAATGTTAAAAGGCCCTCAATATAATACATATTATTTCTAAAAGGTAATTTATTATTTTTTTTAGAACATGTTTAAATGCGAATCGGTTAAGTATAATATTCCTAAATGCGAAAATAGGCCAGTTTGAAAATATTGTTTAAAAAATGTTGAATATCATATAAATGCAAACTAATTAAATGAGAATTATCGAATAAATGCATAGGTTTTCCCATTTAAATTCATACAATATCTGGGACCTGCAGATGTAAATCGTACTTGCAAGTCTCTCTATAAAAATGATATCGGTTAATTGCCAATCGAGAAATTTATTTGATCAAAACTATAATTAACATTCAAACAATTTTAGTATAAAAATATTATTTGCTACAAATGCTCTTATATTTAGGAGGGAAGCAATAATGATATTGAATTTTATACTAGCTTCACATTATATGATGACTTTTTTTTGGCATAAAATTATTGGTCTTTTACTACTCAAAAAACAATTATAAAATTTTTTTTGATAAGTCATTAGCAAATAAAGAAAAGGGTGATTTTTTAAGGTTATTTTGAATACATATATTATCATTGTGATGACTTAAGTTGCTATGGGATTTGGATGATGTGGCAATTCAATTATTAAAGTATAACTAAATTGTTAAAATGAGAAAAGGAATTTTTATAAGTCGGACCACATTCATTTTTATTTATAATTGACTCAGCTCAGAGAACTTTTTAGATGAATAAAATCAAAGGCTCAATTATGTTCATAGAAAGAAATGAGAATAATGAGTTTAAAGGACAAAAAATTATAGGGTTAAAAATATATATAATTCAAAGTTAAAATTGAAAAAAAATTAAAATTATCGCATAGAAGAATAAACATGAAAAAATCGAGTTTTTTTTTTACAACGCTTCGCATTTAGACGATTTCAACTATAGTAACATTTGTTTATTAATAACATCCTCTAACATTAAATTATAAATGGAGGGCCATGCCCAGAGCCAGCCTCATAGCCAATGGTGACGCCCACTCCCCTGAAAAAAAATTCCCCATCCCCCTTATCTTTTTCTACATCATTTGTAGTGTTGTTAAAAGGATCGATTTAGACAATTTTAAATCTAGATTTTGGCCAAAATAATATTAATGCCTCGAGATTTCGCTTCAGGTTTGCATAATATTTTTTGTCTAAAATCATGGGCTGACCGTTTTTAAAACATCACTTTTGCCCACTCCCAACTGAAGTTTCCTGAATGTGGACTTGGCCTTCGCTAAAGCAGGGTCGTGAAACCGAATTTGGGTTCCAAAATATAAAATTGTTTGGTTGGGCATTCGAGATTAAAGACCAAACAGACACCGATTTATGGGCAACCCATCGAACCTAATATGGAACCGGGGCGGGATTCGACCTCTCTTAAATAATCGGTTTTTATTAAATTCCTGTTATCAAAATTTCCGCTAAATAGAGTTTAAAATTTATGAAACCGAATTCGGGTTCTCAATTTTGCACTAAAGTAGAAATAATTCTAATATACACTTTAGGGGTGTACCGAAACCACTTTTTGGAGGTCATTTTTATCCAATATTCCCGATATTAAATTGATATCAGCCGATTACCGATCCCGTATCTAAGATCTATAATTTAACTCTACAATAACATATGTAATTTAATTATATTATAATGATCAGTTATAGTTTATATTCAATTCAATTGCAATTTTAAAAGTATATAAAATATTTTTATTGATAAATCACTTATTTATATAATAAGTAATAACATTAATCTATTTACATAATAAGTAAAAAAACAAATATATTATGAAATTTGAAATAAATATTTAAAATTAATATATCGAGGATTTCTTTTTAGAGATACCAAAATTTCCAATTTAATGGTCAGCCTGTGGCGATGGGGGCTGCCAATATCACCAGCTTCACTAAAAACAGATTCTGAAGAGATTATCGCACACTTTTATAAACAGAATGTGCAAAAAAATAACAATATGGCAGAATGTTAATTAATTAATTATTATTATTAAAAATAAACATAAACATAAAAATATATGATTTTATTCATAAAAATAAATGGTTTTTTAGGATATAACTTTTTTTTATAAATTTTATAACATTTTATTTTTGTTAAAAACGAAATTTTTTATCCGATCGGATAGGAAAATTTTATAATATTGGCCGATAACCGATATTTTGAAATGGGTTAAATATCGGCCCAATCCGATCCGATAAAAAATATCAGTACATCCCTAATAATACTATTAACAAATTAGAATCTTAAACATACTTTAGATTAATGAATAATTATTATAAAGATAGCACTAATATTATTGGAGTGGCTACTCATGAAATAGGGCACGCTTTAGGGCTTCTCCATTCACAAAACAAGAAATCAATAATGACGCCCTTTTACAGGGAATTAGATAGACAAGTTGAATTAGATCAAGACGATATCGCGGCCGTACAGACTTTATACGGAAAAAGTTTGAAAAAGACAAATAGCATTTTTAAAATTCTGTAAAATACATTTTTTTTTTCTTAGAACTTTATGCAAAATAAAAATAGAAAGAAAGAAAGATTTGTTTCATAAAATTTTTAACAGATTATTTATGATCAACATAAATTAATAATTTATTGTAGGTGCATTTGCCCTAAAAGAAGCTATCTTACTCAAATCAAAAAGAAAATATTTTGATAAACAGATGTATCTCAAGAAATTGGTGTGCAAATCTAAAAAGCTAAACGGAATTACTATGTTAGCTAACGAAAGTCTGTACGCATTTATAGGTATTATAAAGTATTAAGGTCGAGTTTAGGATCGTCTTATTTTGAAACACCTTTGCGTCCAAACCAAAATATCTATTTAAAGGTCTGATTAAAAACAAACCTGTTCTAGTTCAATATCTGTTTAGCCTGGCTGGGCAAAACAGAAGTAAATTTCAAAAAATGAGACGAAGCAGGACACTGCCTAAGCGTTTTAAGTTTAAAAATAAAAACATTATAATATTATTCCTCACCCTCCTTCCTCCAAACTTTGGGTATTAATATTTAATAATTATTTTAATAGCATTTTTTTTTTCAAAAAAAAATATACATAATTAAAACTTCATAAAATTAAGGTGGCAATTCGTTGTCTTAATAAAAAAAATTGATTTAGATTATTTGAGAAACTTATTAAATAATTATCAATCTAAAAATGCTAAACCTACTTAGATTTTTTTAAAATTATACTATTATAATTAATAATAATAAAGATTGTAGTAGGTAATATAATAGTTATTATTCAGTTCCCGTTAATTTCTTTAGTTAAACTTCGTCTACATTTTATTTTTCGGGGAGATCTATGGAAGTTATCTTTAACCCGTTTCGACCCGAATTTGTTTTTTTTTTAAAAAAAATTCCCAACCAGTCCAGTATTTATAATTTTTTTTGAAATTTTTTGACCTGGCATAGATTTTTTATTTATTTTATTAACCCTGCTATCCATAATTTTTAAAAGTATTTATAAAAGAAAGAAATAAATAAATAAAGAGTTTGAGCCTATATTTGGAATGTTTATATTGGATCCTCAAAAATAGGAGAAAAATTTTAACCATATATAATATTATAATCCATTTCATTATTACAAAAAAAAGGTACTTATTATTTGGAAATAACAGCTGATGGAATATCCGATATACGTTTCATCAACCAAACTTGGAAGGAAGTACCTTCGAATATTGACACCGTTTTCTTCTGGCCTCAAAAAAATATATTATTCTTTTTTAAAGTTTTTTATTAATACATGTTTAACATAATTTTTTACAAGAAAAATTGAAATTAAAAATAAAAATAAAAATAAAAATAAAAATAAAGATTTCGATTTAAATTTGGAAGTTTTATTATTAGTAAGTTTTTTTGGAGTTTAAATTCTGGATTATTTTTTTATAAATTCTGGGGAAGAGGCAAAATAAAAGTTCATGAGGCGAAAATTTAAAATCTTTTATTTTTGCCTTTTTAAACATTAACTTTTGTTTTTCTTTTTTATACCCAATTTTTTGATTATTTTAATCTTAACAATTTTATAACATTTCCCAGACTTTTCCTATTGTGCTATCAAGAAAAAACAAGTTTATACATGATTAGGCACAATATGAATTTAAAAAAATTAACATCGAATTTATTTGAAAGAGCAAAAATAGCTTTTTCATATTTAAAAAATTGAGGCTGTAAAGGCTGAACTGGCATTAAATTTGGCCTCTTTCTAACAATTAAATGCCCATATATGCAATAAATTATTTGTTCATTTATATTTTTATAAAAAATTGCTTTTTTAAAGAAATTTTATATTTTAAAAACCGACAACTGTTAAAGAATATAAAACTTAGTATGGTCAAAAACCGTTGATTTAATCAATTTTTTTATAAAAAAATGGACCAAATAAAATTATCCCATTAAAGCCACAAGATTTAATCAAACGAGGACCAAATTTTTCTACCATCTTATATATGCTTAATCTCGAGGTTTAGTATTAATTGGTAATATTTGCTTGGCTAAAATCTTGAATCGAGGTTTTTGACAACACTACAATTAAAACTAAAAAAATCAACTTTGTTTATCAAAAAAAATATATTTACACCATTTTTTTGGTTTAATTATTTTGCTATTTGTTTTATTTTCTTCTCAAAAAGTTAGTTTTTATTTTGCTTTTAGGTCAACATAGAACGTTTTGCTTTGGATCCTTCCTTCTTAATTCAATTATCATCTAAATATATTTTAAGGGGATTTAAAATGCAATACCATACCTATCTTTTAAAATTTAAAAAAATAGAATTATATAAATTAAAAAATATATGAGCAAATATGTATTTTTTTTTAAAGAATAATCAATATTGGAGGTACAGTAACGATACATTAGAATTAGACCAGGGTTATCCTAGACTCATATCTGACGGATTCAAAGGCGTACCCGACAATGTGCAAGCAGTGTTTCAATGGGATCACAGCGGAGGTGTGTACTTTGTTTCGGGTAAGTAATAAAAAAAATTCTTTACAATTCCTTTTCCCATTCCCCTTCCCCCCTTAAAAATCATTTTTTCAAAAAATTAATGATATTATATAACTCATTATATATTCTTGAAAAGGTTCAGAATATTACAGATACTCGTGCTTGATGAATAAGAGAGTTGATCCGCACTACCCAAAAAAATTGGCTGTGTGGAAAGGTCTCCCCGAGAGAATTGACTCAGCTTTCAAATGGAAAAATAACAAGACTTACTTTTTCAGTGGCGAAAAATATTACCGTTTCAATGATAACCAATTTAAAGTGAGAAATTATTAGAATATAGTTCCTTATGAATTTCCTCATTTTATCTACACCTTTAGTCGGAATGTATTATAATTGCAATCTCATCTTTTAATCGCGATTCCTATTCGTGTGAAATATGTTAATAAATGTGACCATATTATATAAAATCCGGAGTTTGAATTTTGTGAAACTCTGGGGTTAAATATTTTTCTTACCCGAGACCGGACCAATTTTATCTTGGACCAAATTCAAGCCAAACCCTTTCAAATTTTTTAGCCTTGAAGAACCCAAACCTATCCCAGCTTAGTTTTTTTTTAGCAGATTTAGAACCCTTGTTTTTAAATTTATCGTGAGGTATAAAAAAAATACAATAGAAAGATAAGAAGGCGCGGATGATTAGAACCCGTTAAAATTAAGAGGGTTCGGTTCGGGTTTCATTCAGTCCAATATTTCTTTGAACACGAGTTCCGGGTTCACAATTCTGAATTTTATCATTTTTTTAAGCGAGCGATAGATCTTTGTGTCACACACAACAATTCTTTTTTTTATCGATGCTTATTTTATTTAATCTTGTAGGTAGATATAAATTTTCCGCTTGATTGGCGCAAGTGGTGGCTTGGCTGCAAATAACAAAGAATCATTATCCGGGTGGAAAAATATTTTGAATTTATGCAATTATTTTTCGTATATTTTTACGTTTGCAAATGTTATTATTAAATTTTTAAATAAGTGATAATTAATGTTTTTTTTATTGATTGTTTTTGTTAACAAAATCAAATGAATTTATTAAATAAAAATTTATTTTTTTTAAAGATATTTAATCCCAGACTAACCCTGCATTCACAGTTACCGCTATTGCGATAAAGTATGCATAAATGCACAAGTTTCTTGTATACTTCACCGTGAATTTGTGCTAACCATGAATGCAGGGTAACCCCTCATTCAAGTTAGTACAAATACATGGCAGAGAATACAAAAATACCGCGTGAAACATTAGCTCGGCCCTTCCGTAGCCCAAACAAATATTGATTTTTATTTATTCTATTCTTCCTCTTTCTATTCTGATTGGTTTTTCCTAATTTAAAAAAAAATTTTAAAAGAAAATAATAGGAGATGGAGTCGAATCGTAAGAAGCAATTAATATTTGTTATATAGGCTTTCACAGCAATCAACGATCAAAATTTTTTAACTGTGTGACGCATTTTAGATAGAAGGAGAACACCTCTAAATCCTGATTTATTAAAAACCTTTATTTATTTATTTTTTACATAATAATTGGATTACTAAATGTTTCATACAATATTTATTAATTATTAAATAGATTTGTAGAATATATTAAATTTAATCTACATAATTATAATGAAGAAGAAAATAGGGAATGGTTTGATAGTATATTTTCTTATTCATTCCCATTTATATTAAAATCAAATAGGGCTACGGGAATGGCGCCCTAAAGCTTTATGTACCAGCGGACTGGTATTGGGCCAAAAATAATTTTGCAGTACTCCATTAGGTCTAGTCAAGACTTTCTAAATGGGAAATAATCCTCCATGCCCATCAATTAGCAGAGTAGATTATACTTATCCTTCAAATGATATTGGGATTTTACACGGTAGTTTTTTTTTAAAAAACTTTATGGGAAATTTAAATTATAGTTATACTATTTTTATTATTTTATTTTAATTTATTTAATTTAATTTTTTTGTGTAGAAGGTGAAGGAGGTTGTATCGATATCAATTATTATTTGTTCAAAATTATATTTTTTTAATGAATACCACTTAGAGAGGGGAGAGTGGAAATTTTTAAATTTACTCTCCACTTTTCTTTTCCTGTACTAAATGCAAATTAATGAATGCGTTGCGCACAAGGAACCTAAAGTTTGCCAATTTAATTTTTGTGCCAACCTTTGTAAACTCTTAGAACCTCTCGCCTTCTTCCTAAAAGGTCCTTTAAAGCTACGCGTTATTACTTATTATATATCTATATATGAGAACACATCAAAATTAATATAACTTGTGATTTCCTTAATTAAAAAATTTACATTGTCAATATGGTCATTTGAATGATAAAACCAATCAGCTGTTTTACAATATGTGTCAAGAATTAAATTTAGACGAGGGCACCCTGTACTATCAACGCGTTATATATACTTTGCCGGAAAATTCTAGTGATTTATTTATTTTTTTAGCAAATAAATAAATTGAGCATTTCAAAGTAATAATCGTATTCTAACATACACTGACCAGAATCTTTGAAGATACATGTATATAAAATTTAACTGGTTATGATATAACAACTTAATTGTGACTGAACTAATTTATCCAAGCTACCAAAACGATAATCTTACTAGGTACACTAAGGAGTACTTTTATCAACTATATTCAAAAATCTGTATGGCCATGGTGTGGGAGCCAATTTTTATTTTGAGTAATAAATGATGATTATATCAACCGTAAGATTATTTATATGAACATTCGTCATGGAGCAATGTTCTTCTGGGTTAAAACTTTTAAAAAAAGGGGTAATGAGATGTCCTGAATCCCATATCCCGGACCATTAGTTTTATAATTCATAACTTGCCAATAGCTCAGGACTGCTAAGTCACTCGCGATACTTTACATTAGGAGGAATCTGGGATGCCGACTTGACAAAGTTAAAGAAATATCATGCCTACTGTACCAACTGTAGCATAAAACGAATAGAAGATTTTTTAGGCGAGAAATCTTAGCATCTCGACATACTATTAAAATAAACCTTCGCTGGGATTAAGGGATGGTAATGCCCCAAACCTTATATTATGACTGTTTTTTTTGTTATTTAATACTATAACTATATCTAGTTTTATATAGAGACACTGATACAACTTTTATTTCCGACACAGATACTTAGTATAAGTGTATCTTTCGTATTTTTAAAATGTTTCTTTTTGGATTTCAAGGCATTAGGCACTTTATATTTTAAAAGTATAATAAAAAAATCTTTTTTAAAATTTAAGCAATTACTTCCAAGTGCATTCGATTTGATTGTTGCTTACTTTCTTTTTTTATAAATTTATTCTTTATGTCTAATGATTTTATGATATCTATTTAAAAAAGGATATATGGTTATAACTATTTATGAGTATTACACCTAGTGTAATACGTTACATTACTGTAATTTGCTTTACGTCCATAATAAAATCTGTTTGCGAAAATAGGGAAGATGTTCGAAACGCTTTTGTAAGCCAAGTTCATCCCCTACTTTAAAATAATCCTCCCCCTCCCCATAAATATTATGTATGTTTTTTTTTCACAATAAAAAAAATAAAAAAGGAATATCTAGAAAAATTTCTCTACATAAAACCGAGGGTAGGTAGTTTATCGGCCAACTCAATTCCTGCTATTCATGCTAAAGAACTGGTCAAATTTCAAAAGATGGCCAATATACCCTTAACAGGTAATATATTTTTTTCAAAATAAATAAGTCACGATTTTTGTTAAAACCGATTTCGATTCGGGTTTCTACAAAAATTATAAGGGCTCTGATTCACGTTTTTTTTATTTAACCGAGTTTTGATTTTGGCCGTAAACTTTGAGTATAGCTCAACAGTCATGATCCGTTATGATTTAGAAAAAAGCATGCCATTTTTTTTAGTTAGTCATATTATGAAACTTTTGCCAGGGCTTTTAGACAATAAGACTTTTCAAGCTATGACTTGGAAAAGATGTGGATTACCAGATACCGGTAAGCAATTGAATGCGACACTTAAATCAACAAGTGCGCCAAGAAGAGTTAAAAGGTATTCATTTCAAGGTATAATATAAATATATATATTTTTTACATTTATCGATTAGATGTAACTTATCGTGATAAATAATTAAGAGCAAACCTGACCTTATACTTTTGTACCAGGAATAAATAGCTATACCAAATTCTTTTTTAAAAAAACACGAACCGAACCGATTTAAAATATATTAAACCTTCTAAGCTTCCTTGTAGATATTATCATAAATTACTGGACCATTATGATTTGGTAGATTTCGAAATTTGTTGTTGCCTTGTATTCTAATCAAATTAAAAAATTTTAAAGTTCTTAAACATTTTGTTTATATATTTAAATTTATTGTATAAAGATAAAAGATAAATTGAAAATACTTTATGGACCCATTTGAAGTTGTGGCCTGCCTTTCATCCGTTTACCCGTTACCTCTAACTTTAAACTCTGTTTCTAATATAGTTTTCGAGCTTTCTAACAACTGTACAATCTTAATCTATTTACTATAATTTGTGTTTTTATAAGTCTACTGACTTAAAATTTTCTAGTATATATTTCCTATCTTATTCTTTTTGGTTACCCCAGCTATCATCCTCAGCATTCTCCATCCATTATCTGGAAACCTCTTTCGTCTGACTCTTTGCCTAGCCATAGTCAAAAAAGGAATAAAAACTAAATTTTATATTTTTAAAAAATATAAAAATAAGAAATTGTATAAAATATTTTTTGCAAATTTATAATTATCTATTTTGATAATATATTAGGCAGTCAATGGGGAGTCAGTGAAATTAGATACAGGATTAGCAAATATACTCAACGTTTTGCAAAGGATAAAATTGACAACGAAATCAAAAAAGCTTTCGATGTAAAATAATTGAATCTTATATATAATATGCACTATATTTTTAGCCCAAAACGTATTTTTTATGTGGACATCTATCTCTCTAAAAGATTCTTATAAGGGAATCAGATGGAAAATCGTTAAGCGCCTTTTATACACTAATTAATTAAATGTGCTAATAATTTGTTTAAAAATTCATTATTGAATTATAAAAATGTAAATTCTACAATATATTACCCCTAACCCATATCTGGCGATTCTTGGAATTACGCTCCATCTTCGTCCGAGAGATTCAGGTAAAAAAAATGTTTCGAACTGCGAAGCATTTATGTCTCAATCGGTATCTATACCGATGACATTATTACTACCTTAAACTGAATTTATTAAAAGTGTATAAAGTCGGCCGTAGTCAATGTTATTAGCTATTGAAGATGCCATTGAAAGATATATTTCGTCTAAATGTCTTTCACAATTTTGTCTAAATGATACTTTTCATTGGTGCACTTTAATATATCTACGCTTTTTAATGTATTTTAATTAATGAAGTGGCAGCTTAGATTGGTATTAATATCATTAATGTATATCTCTAACTCTGAGCTAGAAATCTACTTTTAAAAAAAGACAATAATTTATTTTATATATAACTAATATATCTTATATAATTAAAGGCTTGTCACATTTTGTGAAATTTTGTATTAACTTTTCGTCATATTTGTGATAAAGTGTAAAAATACCCAGATTTGGAATCGAACTCACGACTAAATGGCATAACTAAACATTTGTTTCAGCAGCTTAGCAATATGTCCTCATCGCAGCAGCTTAGCGTTATGCCCTCACGAGTCTCAAATTTTATTTATTTCTATTCATTTATTTTTAAAGTTGTCTTTTTGGCCTTATGAAAGTAGATATGTTCAATATAAATGTCTATAAAGATGATTAGCCTTTCCCCCATAATAGGCTAGTCTAGGCCTAGGGGGTCAGTATTATTTTAAATAACACAAATATCGATATGGATATCAAATAAAAGCTAATTTAAATATCCTTAGACTGAGTTTTTACTCTAAATCTTAATTAGTTGGACTTAATATGTAGGGGGGGGGGAGCTAAGAACCAGTATTTGACATAGGTATCAAAAAAAGGTAATAAAATATCCTCTGATTGTAATCATAATTATCACACTAAGTGAGCCGGTCTGGATCTTGTGGGTGGGGAGGGGGGGGCAGGATATTTTCACTCAAATAATAGTATTCACACTTGATCTTAATGGATAGGACTTGTCTGGAGGGAAAGGGGTAAAATAAAAATTGGATATGTGTAATCCATCATCAAATTAAGAAAAAAATTCTTCCCTGTCATTCTTGACGGACTATCTACTAGTAAATTATATAAACCTTATAATGAATAATAAAAAAAATATTATTCGTATTTCATCTTTTGTTAAATAAAGATTTCCTGAATCGTTTATGACAATGGCTATGGTTGCATTGTTTTTACTTAAATTTTTATTTAAAAAAACCGTCCTTATAGATGACAGTTTTTTTATGAAATCTATATTTACAAAAAATTACGTGTTTTTAATGGTAGCCGTGGCCAGATGTTTAGAAACTTAGATCGAGGAAATGTGAGCTTAATGACCTGGTTCAATTCCTGAAAGGCTGCATTAATATAAAACCGACCTACTCGAGCAAATAGCTATGGATTTGAGAGAAGGTAGAAAGTTTAGAATGATAAGGGGTAGGGCTAATATAAATTCAAAAAAAAATAGTTATAATAAAGTTTTAGCCGCTACCCAATAAGTTGTTGTATGGTGTTCAGAGGCTATGCACTGTCATTATCCGATGGCCCTCGTGTTTATTTTTCATTTTAACATTTTTCCTCATTAATTCATGTTTTAATTGTTATATGCTGTCCAGAGCAGCTGTGCACTATCGTTGCCCGATGACCGTCATATTCATTTTACATTATAACCCTTTCTTCCTTTATTCGTGTTTTAAATTTGTTTTATTATTTTTAAAGCATAAATTGGTTAAAGGTTTATGTTGTACTTAGATCATTCATAAAATCTAAAATAATAATTCTAAAATTTTTGTCCTAAACATGTAACGAAATTTTAAATTAATCTCAAAACCAGAAACATTACTTTCATTATATTTCCCAGCATACAATTTTTTATCAATACCGTTTTTATATTTATACTCACCCCTTCAAGCTTTGGGCTAAATATTCCAATCTGACATTCAAACAAATGATCGATGAAACCAAACATATTCACATAGACATCCGATGGGAAAAGGGTGACCATGGAGACGGTACACCTATGGGTGGACCAGCGTTAGTAGTAGCCCATGCATTTTACCCTGATGAGGGCGGTGAAGTTCATTTTAATGATGCTGAGGTTTGGACAGATAAATTTCTCGTTCCAGGTAATTATTTTTTTTCAATCAAATATTAACCAACACTATCTTAATATTCAGGATTTACACCAATCGCATTCATTAATTTTATATCTTTCTCTTTAGATATTTATTATAATCGCCGAGATTATCTCTTCGATAATGTAAAAAAAAAGAATTAATTGATATTTTATTATTACAATTGAAAAGGAAGCATCAATATAATGCAAGTTGCTACTCATGAAATAGGTCATGCCTTAGGGTTACTCCATTCGCAAAAGAGGGAATCAATAATGACTCCATTTTACAGGGAATGGGATAGGGAAGTTGAATTAGATGAAGACGATATTACAGCTATACAGTATATGTACGGAAAAAGTTATAGAGAAAAAAATATATACAATACTCTTTTTTTTAAAAGGCACCTAATGAGCTTTTTTAAACGCAGAGTGTCTCTTAATCCTTTTTTTCAAACCCCATAGTGCCCCTTTTTCAATGGGAAATAAAGTACTAGCTGAACAAAAACGCTTTACTATATTTGAAACGTATTTTTGTTTAGACTCCTTTTCCGCTTTACTTTAAGTGTGTTCTAAATCTAGATTGCCTCTTCCTTTTATTCTGTTTAGTAAGAGCTATTTAAACCACTAAACATACCCCTGTTTAAAATTAAGACATCAGGATACAGACAAAGGATTTAATGATATTTTTTTAAAAAAATAATTTTGCTTTTTATAAAATTTAATATAGGTGAATTTGCCAAAAAAGAGACCATTTTGTTAAAATCTATAGAAGGGAAAGAGAAACAGGTATATCTCAAGAAAAGGGTGTGCCAATCTGAAAAGTTAGACGGGGTTATAATGTTAACTAACGAAAGTGTATACGCATTTATTGGTGAGCGCGCTTTAAAGACTATTAGGAGCAGTATTATTGCTAACACTTTTTATTTTTTTTTGCCAATACCATTGGCCGATACCAAATTAATACAAATCATGTGACACGTCATTTTAATTTCTCATAATTTCTTTATATAAGAAACCAAAATGGCGCGACAAGCTGATTTATAGATTCACATTTAATTATGTTTCGTTCCACGTTTCGGAACGTTCCGGAGCGCGTTCCTTAAATATATTTAAAATTTTATTTAATTTATATGCAATTTTTATTCATTAATCCTAATAATATAGATCAGATATTACATCTAAGTATTAATTTTAGACATTTTATAAAAGATTACCAATTATTTGCGCCGGTCGTGTTAATATAAATTTGAGTATCGAAAAACACCTCTCAACACTAACTTGGTGGGATAAGAAAACTATCCATTGAAATTTAAAACCTATATTATTATATAATATTAATTTTATAAACAGTCCCAATTATTTATTTCTCCTTTTACTAACGATTAAATGACGCCTGAGAACCGTGAATTACTAAGTTTCTTTTATAATTAATTATATAAATTATTATCCTTTGTTTAGAAATTACATAAATAAAATGCTGTTAACTGGCTTAGAAAACCGCCTTGAGAAAAAAGCAGTCCGTAAATATCCTAATTTCTGTAATGTTAATGCAATTTAGTAATGACCATATTAAAAAGGACCTAATAAGTATTCAGAGTAGTTAAACACTTTTTTACAACTCTATTTTTTGCTAACCCACAAAAAAAATTGTCATGATAGATAAAATTTAGTACGATTTCATCTGGTAACCCTTATAATTTTAATAGTTAACGAATTTTAGCCAGGATTATACATTTATACTATTTTTTATTTAGGTGCATATTATTGGGAAATTACCGCTAATGGAATGTCAGATTTACGAGTCACCAAGCAAACCTGGAAGGAAGTTCCTTCTAAAATTGATGCCGTGTTCTTCTGGCCTCAAAAGAATAGATTATTCTTTTTTAGAGTTTTTAATTTTAAATATATATTACAGGCAATTCACGTTTTGTCTGACCAATATTTCAGTCAATATAGCGTGTAATTTTAGTATGCAAATTAGGAATAACTCAAAAAGTTTATGACCATATTTTACGCAAATTGGAATGCATTTGCTATTTTCCAACTTTAAATTATATATTTGACGCGTTTTTTTAAATTTAAAAAAAAATGATATCTGATTTAATCAGAAATATTCCGACAAAGTGTAAAATACTTATTATACTTTAAAAATTTCAAACAATTTTCTATATATATAACAATTGATTAGTGATTGCCTCATTTATTTGAATTTATCTAATCTTTTTTGAGTGACAGTTTTGATAGGTCGGAATTTACCCTGCATTCACAGTTAGCGCCAATTCTCGGCAAAGTTTGCAAAAATACAGCATATTTTATAATCACCGCGAATTCACGGTAACACTGAATGCAGGGTTATCTTTTTATAATTTTATGGTATCAAGGATAGGCATGAACCGATCATTAGATATTAATAATAATAAGAATAATGTAATAATAATATAATTTTTTTTATTTGACAAGTTTAATAAAGCATTTTCTTATTTTAAATTTGAATAAATATGCGAGAGAATAAATTTAAATTTAATTCAATTATTACATAATATATAAATTAAAAATACAAGAACATACCTATAAAATATTTCAAAGAATGATCAATACTGGAGATACAGTAACGATTCATTAAAATTAGACCTGGATTATCCAAGACCCATAAGTGACGGATTTAAGGGCGTACCTGAAAATATACAAGCGGCGTTTCAATGGGATGACAGCAGCGGCGTATACTTTGTTAGGGGTTTATTCATTCATTTATCATCCGCCTGATATTTAAATTGATAACTTAAATCCCAAAAATTCGTTATTCACACTTTTTTAAGAGCTAAAAAAAGGTCTCGCATTTTTTCTCTCTAAGGATATGAACTAAACTGGTTTAATTTTCAAAAAAAAAATCAGGTGATGTAAAGTAGGGTGATAGGGAAAAAGTAACCGAAAATTATAATTAAGTCATCCGCTATAAAGAAAAAATGAAATAAGATTTTTTTGAAGAAGATCTTGAGGATGATCAATTTAATGAAGAATTAGTTAAATTTTTACATAGTAAAAATAATTCTTTAAGTGAATGAATTACCATTAGTGTTGTTAAACGGCTCTATTTTTTAAAAATGCTTAACCCAATCTTTTAGCCAAAAATTTTACATATTATTTCATTAAATACAACACTACCCTTCGATAGCCAGTACCAGTTGAACATGTATTCACATCGTTCTAAACTTTCCTGATTATCTAATCAAAATAATTATATTTGGAATAGATTTATATATAATTAATGAATTGGACAATATAAATTTTTATTTAAAGTATATTTAAAATTTTTATTTTATACTTTATAATTGGTAAACTGTATTTTTGCATCATAATATGTATTTTTATAACTTAAAAGGTTAGAATTTAGATCTAAACTAGTTTCATTTTTTTTAAAAAGGAACTTTTGGCTAAGTTAAAATAAAATAATGTTTTATTAATTCACTTTAGTTTAAGTCTATGGGGCATGATAATATATTTATTTCTAGTTAAATTATATTATTTTCTAGTAGAAAAGCAAAAATAAAGTCCTTTCATAACTAAAGGTGCATTAGTAATATCCCTCAAAATAAAATTTTAATTTAAATAACATAATTATCAACAATGATCTCATTATAACATTTTAACCGACATTGCCTACTCATCAGTATGGGAATTATAAAAAAAATAGCATTTTGCCGACATTGCAAACTAATCATTATATTTTTCAAAGGCGCGAATTATTATAGATATTCAGGCATAGCCGATAGGAAAGTAGACCCGGGTTACCCCAAGAAACTGTCACTATGGAAAGGTTTGCCTGAGATAATCGATTCGGCTTTCAAGTGGAAAAATGATAGAACTTACTTTTTTAGCGGCAAAAAATATTACCGTTTCAACGATCACCAATTTGATGTGAGTTTTTTTTAATATAGGCCAATGTTTTTTTACTCTTCTCTTCAGTAATAAAAATAATGTTATCTATTTTTCAATTTTCAAAAATTCATCTTTTATTGTTGAATTATCAAAATAAAAACGCCATTCCTTAAAAATCCAAAAGAACACCAAAATGAAACCAAAATTTTTTTAAAAAACTATAGTAAAATATAATCAAACAAAAGACATTTTTTTTAAAAAAAAATCAAAAACAATAAATAAGGCACAGTGATAAGTCATATAAACCAGAGACTTGCTGGCCTGTCGTGGTACCCGACTCCTGGGCCAAAAACTAGAGAAGAATAAAAATCAGAACCCATCTTTTTAAATCAAATAAATTCAAATTAATAGAATTTGACTAGTTGAAAAAATCATATGACGTATCATGTGATTTAAAATTAATTCACCCCCTATTTTAATCTCCTTTTGAAATCGTTTATAGAAAACAACCAATATTATCCAGCCCATAAATTGATAGATATCCGAGCCGAGCTGGTCTTAAAATATATAAAAAAAATTAGGGCACACCAAAAATCATTATTTTTTAAAAATTACTAACCCAATATTAAAAAAATATTAAGAAACCTGGAAACCTTGCTCATAGATGACCGAAGGTTTCGACATCTATTAACGAAAATCTCAAGTTTGATTTAAAATTTCCAAAATCTGATCGTTTAACAACATTACAAATCTTTTTCTTAAATCTGGGCTGGGACTAGTGTTGTTAAACCGCTCGTTTTGAGCCGATTTTTAAAAAGGGCTAACTCAATATTTTAGCCAGAAAAATATTGCCTAAGCCTTGAGATTTCGCTATTAAATGTTTAGACCTTCGGGCCATCTATGAGTAAAATCTTTAGGCTTGCGTAATATTCATCTGGATAAAATATTGAGTTTGCAGTAGGAGCTTCTACAGATCCCTGAAATATAAACAATCTTTAAATAGATGTCATTTTTTTCTAAAAAAAAAATTGCAGAAAGTAGAGATTATAATAAAAAACTTGATTTTCAAATAAAATGTCAAAATTTTGAATAATTTTATAATTGAAAATTATATTTCCAGCTTATTTTTTTTATTGATATTTACCATTTCAGGTGGATAAAAATTTTCCTCGCGATTGGCGCAAATGGTGGCTAGGCTGTAGCAATGTCAATGAAACAAAATTTTGATTTCTAATAAAAAAAAAAAATTTTAGTTTTAGTTTGTTTATTTTATTCTAATTTATTTCATATGTTATATGTAATGTCTCCGATTTAAAATGATCTATGACGATTATATTTATTTTATTTAAAATATTAATGTTAAACTTTATCCAAATCTATTTTATAAATAAATTTTTTTAATTTGGTGTTTTTTTTGATGAGTGATTTGTCCTAAGTGACCAAGCAAAAATTAACTCTTCTGCTAGGTCCCTTCAATGTTTGATTTTAATTGGAAATCGTGATTGAAAATCAGCTGGCGAACTTGGCTGAAGATTCGGAAATATTAATCAAAATTAATTTGGTGCATTTATTTTAATATTTTTTTATTCTTATTGTTAAAATTCAAAAAATTTGTGATCTAAGGTGTGATATTAAAAATTTATATAAATAAAGGGTGACCACTTTAACAGGGGTAGAACCGCATGAATAAAACCAAATGGAGTAGGGATAATTTTAATTGCTAGTTTGTTGTAGATAGTTCTGTTTTATGACTCACAAGTAGGATGTTAAAAGAGTATTATTGTTTAGACAAAAGAGGATTTTTTAAAATCTGCAAACGAAATAATCGCCAGGACCAGGACTGCAGATTTGAATGAAGTTTATAGCTAAAAAATGAAGAAGATTAGGATTCGAGAGATATTATGGTGGGAAGGGATTTAATGGGATGATGAGGAGGTAATGAGTGGTAATATGGAAATTTAGTTAGTAGAAAATAATTAGGAAAAGTTATAGATTTTACTAATTATATAATAAACCACAAATTATCTACTTAAAAATTAGGGCGATTTCCTCACATTAATTTAACCTGATAAACAATTTAAATATCCGTTTATAATCAAATGTTTTATTAACAAATTATCAGATAAATTGTTATTTTTTTATAACCATATTGGTCCCGCTAATTTCTAAGCATTAAGATCCGAATAGAAAGTACATATAATTATCCCGCGCTTTTATAAACTATATGATTGGCTATTATAATTAGCACACATAAGTGATTTGAAAAGGTATTAATGCATACATTTTTATTCTTCTTAAAGAAGAAAATTTATGAAAAAACTAAATAGTGGTATCTAAAAATTTCTATTTGAATTTTTTGTCGAATAAAAAGAAATTCTCTGGGTTCATTTGTGAAAAGTAGTATTTTATTACCCAGATTTTTTAAAAACATAAATGTTAAAGGCGAAAAATGCCCTTTAGTAGAGGTCACTACTGGAGTGAATATGAAGTCTTTAAAATTTTTGTATTTGTTCAATTATAGAATTTTATTTTTAATTATATATTTATAAATTATAATTTTTTTAATTAGGTTTTATGTAAAAAGAAATTTAATAAAATAAAGAATAATCAATAGTGGAATGATAACGTTCATATATAAACTTGCTTGATGAATCAAGAACTACTCATTTATTTGATTTAAAAAATTATTCAAATTGGTTGTTTTGTTAAAACATCTATTTTACCGTAAAAAGAATATATTACATACGAAATTTAGCCAAAAGTTTGCCGAAAGGTTTGACCATTTTTTGGAAAAATTTTGAATCGGCGAAATCGAAGTTTAAAACAGCGAATGGGGGAATAAGAGATTTATTTTATAATAGTATTCTACTGCTCCCCCAATAATTTGAATGATGAGCTTGTTTTGGTACATGCCGAGGTATGCATTCATAAATTTCTTTGAACACTTTCAACTTCAAATACGTAATTAACTAATTTCTTTATTAAAATACTTTCTAGGTTTTATGGTGTCAACTAAATCAATATCTTTTTTTTTGAAATAGATTGCATAAAAAAACTAGTATAAATAACTTATTTGTTCATTTATTCTGATGCAAAGAAATTTAAATAAGGCTCTTTCTTCTTAAGATATTTTGATAATTTCACTAAGAGCGCTGATAATATGCTCCGCAAACTCCATAAAATCAGTGATTACTTAAATTACTAAAGTTTTTTTAAGGTGTTTTATAATTTGGGCTCTGAGAGGGTGGGGGCTCCCTGCTATTTATTATATTAAAAAATAAAAAAATTGATGATTTAAAATAAAATGCTTTGTTTCTATGTGTTTTTTTACCAGTAAATTTATAGTTTTTGCAAGGATGCAGCTCTATTTTTATCCCTCTTTGTTGTGCCTTCCTATTATTTGGGAGTGATAAATATTTTTAAATATATGGGTGAATATTTTTTTTGGAAGTAGTGAAAATGTTGCTCCAAATGTCACTTTTATTTTTTCGTTTAAGACAAAATATTATTGACAATTGATAAGAAACAATATTTTAGAAAATTAATTAAAAAAAACAATTTATTTCTAAATTTTAAAAGATCGCTTCCAAAAATAATTCTGGTTTTGTATTTGTAAATGAATTAGATAAATAATTTAAAAAATAAGAAAGAAAATTTCGCTGAAATATTACGTTTGCGGCTGGGAAAATGTAAATAATAACAATAAAATAGCTTAATACAAATTCTTAACTTTAGATTCTGTCGTCGGTCTGAAACTTAAAAATAGAGTCTGGTGATTCCTCAAAAGTAGTCATTAATTGTCAATATTTTATTTTTTTATAATATATTAAAAAATATTCAATCAATAATGAAATATATCATGCCATATGGTTCCACTTTCTTTTCTTTTTTTTCTTATCACAGAAAAAGAAGAATTAAATACTTTATATTTATTATTTATTTTTAATAGCATATTTTCAAAAATTCAGTTATTTTTATTATTTTTTTTAAATAAAATATATTTAAATATTTTAAAAAGTTATCTTAATTTTCAACCTTATTTTTTAAAAATTAACACGCAAAAATTGTGGGAATCAATTTGAAAAAACCATTGTTACATTTTTAAAAAAAAACTATTGTTCCGATTGCTAAAAAAAGCCTTAAGGTCTGAAAATAGAAAAATAAATTAAAAGTAGAAGAAATGTTTATTGATTTTGGAAATTTGGGGGAAGAAAAAGAATAAAATTTGCTTTAAACATGAAATGATTTGCATATCGGATTTAAAAAATATATAATTTATAATTGAAATTTGATATAATTTCACATTATACCCATCAACCCTGGATGATAACTAATTTATTGAAAATCAGAAAATTTAAGAAAGAAATATTTTTTTATAGCATTCTAACTAAAACAATTTATTTTTATTCTAATTAAATTTTTTTTAAATTATATAAATAATACGTAATAGAAAATGCATTGTTGTAATAAAAAAGAATAAAACAATTTAGAAGAAATCATTATAAAAATTATACAAGATTTTTAAGGATTTCTCAAAGAACATTAAATCCTCTCCAAATTTACAAATTTAATTTATCGAATTCTGATTTAAAATTCCCAAAATTTTGGTTTTCCCTGTGAAATAAAAAATCAATCATGGAATGTCAAGCTTGCAACAAGGATCTGATGGGGAAAGAATACGTGGAGAAGAAAAGCAAAAATTATTGCCTCGCCTGTTTCGACGATAAATTCGCGAGTAAATGTGTCGAATGCGAAAATGTTATATCTGCCGGTCAAAAGGTAAAAAAAAATGTATTTGTTTTTTATATTAAACCTCCGAAAGTGACCGACCTCTCAAACATAAAACACTCGTTTTATTTATTGATGAGCATATATCGCCTTTTAGGCCCCTCCCCAGCACGTATTGAATATAAAATCATTCATTTATTTGATATATTATAATGCTTACTTAGACTAAAGATTCATTCTTTCATCATTATTTTGAAACGCCGTAGAATACAGATCAGCGGGTGAAACACCAGTTTGGTTTCCCATATAACATAATAAATGATTTTTTTTAAAGTTTTCATAAAATTTTAAATGTAAATTATTTATTACCGGAATGGTGTATCATCAGATGATTTATATCGATACACTAAATGAATAAATCGTCATTTTAGATAAGAATCATATGTCATTAGGTCCTCTGTCTCTCCCCCCGTTACGGCCCTAAAGCCAATTTTATGAGTATTTTTTTAAGGCTTAAAAAAATATGATACTATTAGGTGACTGGCCAACACTATTTTCCATGAATTACGAGAATTATGAATTTCCTTTGTTCAGTTGCTTTTGCCGTCTAAGCCCGTCATAACTAAATTCTCTATATTCTTAACTATGATTTATTTATAATTTTTATCCAACAAAATATTGACCTTGTTCTTCTCTTACTATTTAAGCTGTTTTTGTTAGATCTGGCTAAGATAGCAGGGGCGTCACTAGCCTTTACAAACTCAGGGGGCTCAAAGAAATATTTTTAAATTATTTTCAAAATGACCTATTGTTTTAAGCTACCATTTTCAAAATGACCTATTTGGAGTATAATAAATAACCCTGAATTCACAATTAGTGCGAATTCGCGACAAATAAATACAAAATATTAAGGAAATTTCTGACTTTAAAAAAATTGAATGATGCCAAAAGCTAGATAAATAATATTTTATTAAAAATCCTCATCGAACTACTTCGCATATTCTCAAAGCCTTCTTTATTTTCCTTCGGAATTCCTGTTTACTGTTTATTGTGGAAAGATTTTATTTTAAAAATTGGCGGGCTCAATAGTGAACAGTCATTCACCCGGAATGGTTCTTACATCAACTCCTCGCTTAGAAAACATTATTTTATTTTTCGTTTTTTCTTATTATTAAATTATGCATATTTTTTTAAACTTGTTAACAACATTTCATATTCTTTTCTTAATAATTACCAACACAAATAAATACTATGATCGTTCCATTACATTATATAGGAGATAGGGAAAACAGTTTATGCAATTTTAAAATATAAATTTTTCAAAATATAAATTATTTATAAAATAATATTGCATAAATTATTTGTTATATTTATTAGGCAATTTGTTTATGCTCATTACATTTTTATTCGATACCCTCTAATTGATCATAAATTTTCCTTCGCTTCAAAGTCTTAACATTTTCCATCATTCCGTTTTCTTTTACTTTTAGATAAATAACATTTATGAATAATTATTTTTTGTGTGTGAGGTATTAGGAAATTAGGAATTCTCTCAAGCGTAAAATATAACTTTTTAACACATATATAATAATTTTACGATTCGAGTTATTTATGTGGTAATGTAATATAACTAAATTTAAAATTATATAATAAAGTTATATATATAATATAAATTAATACACTTTATGCCAAATTAACTATTTTTATAAATACGATGTCAATTTTAACCTTTTTTTCTATCAATATCATATCAATCATCTTTAATCCTTATCCACGATACGAATTATTATATTTCTCTAAGTATATATACAGATGTTTATTGTTTCTTTTCTTAAATCTGTGTATAAATAAATTTATAATTTGGTTAGTGAAATTGTTTTGATAGTCATTAGAGCCAAAAATTTCTATCATCAATAATTTAATGCCAATCTCTCATATTCTAACCAAGTACAGTTTAGTTTACACTCCAGACCTTGGAAATTTTTAAAAAGATTTTTCGGACCCACGAATATTGTTGTCCCTCTCCTGGCCCGTAAATAATTTTATGTATATTGAACGGCCCGGAGTAAAAAAAATAATTTTAAGACATTAATTCTGAGTTTTAAATAAAAATTTGCAAATATTTGCACCAATGTCCAGCTTGGCCGCTTCTAGTTTGCAACTCATCATAATTGTAAAAAAAAATTTTTAGAAATGAAAGAAAGAAGTGAATTATCCATAGACGGAAAAGGTGCGAAAAAAGGTTCACAATAAGAAATTTTTTCAAAAAATATGCAATCTTTATATTATTTTTATTGCACTATCGAATCTCAAAAAAAAATCTATAATAAAACGGGTAGACTTCATGTATGGGCTCTATGTATTAAAGATCTACAACGGGTGGGTCTGAACGGGCTTTCTAAAATATTTTAAACTGGATGGCGGGCGGGCTAAAAATTATTTTTATAACAATGGGCTGGTGAATTTTAAATATTTTTGGGCAAAATGCTCAGAACACCTCTATTTATCAAAAATTAATTTTTTAAAAAATTTCATAATTGCCTTTTATAATAATTCTAAATGCATCAAAATAAATAAAGAGCCAAACCAGTCATTAACATAATTTAATTTTCAAACATCGAGCGAGCTGGTTAAATAAAATTTTTAGCAAATGAGCTGACGAGCGGTTGGGTAAATTTTTTTAAAAAAATGGGTGGATGGGTGGGTTAAAAAAATTTTTATAACAACCTATGGGCGGGATTGTTGATTTAAACCCATGCATTGCAGACTCTACTATATATTAGCGGAAATACATGACGCACGCTTCAACCCCTTCCGGGGTTATGAAATTGAATGTCATTCCTGGCGTGTTGATTTTATAGCAGAAATATTCGCGGAATCAAAAATTAAATTATAAGAAAATTGTTCATGACGAAGGGACAAAGGAATGCTTACCACTAGATATCAATTGAGTACGTTATAAAGGGTTAAGGCCCGGTTCTAATACTTTTAGCCCGGCCCCCAAAAATTTTTATGGTGGTTCAAGATGATTAAATTATATAATTCAGCGTTAATTTTATTTTACAGCCCTCAAAAATATTCTATATAAATTGTCCAGCGATCTCTGCTTATTTATCCTAAATTATTTTTTTATTTTTAGCATCACCTTAAGGTTACTTTAAAAAAAATTAGACGGATTTTAAAGTTTCTAAATTATTTGTAAGCATATATTTTAACAAACCAAAAATGACAATATTTTTAACTTTTAAAATCCTTTCTATCAGCACACATTAATTAAAAATCGTAGCTTTTAACCCCTTAGGGATGATAATAATAAAAAAATCTTTAGTTATTTTGTATAAACACAATCTGACCCAACTTACTTTGGTTACCTGAACTGATTTTAATTAAACACTGGCAAAAAAAACTACTTCGTTAAAAGTCAAGATTATATATATTCATAGATAAGTTTTTACAGCTAAAATGTTAATAGATTGATTTTGCTGCAAAAAAATATTTAATACAAATAATATAACAATTAGGAATTAGTGTTTGGAGACGAAGGACATTACCACGAAAAATGTTTCAGATGTTCCAAATGCAAAGCGTTTTTGGATGTTAACAATTACGAGACATCCGACAAAAGGCCAGTATGCCAAAAATGTTACACAGTCCAACTGCCTGGAGGTGGTGTGTGTCCGAGTTGTAATCAATCCTTAAAATCTGGTAAACCAACATTTCTTAATTTATGAATCCATGTTTATTTTAAATAAAAAAATAAAGGTCAACCCAAACTAGAATACAAAGGGAAACAATATCACGAAAATTGTTTTATTTGTTCATATTGCAAGAAAAGCTTGGGTAATGAACGTTTTTATTCCAAGGATGATAAAAATATATGCGTCCCCTGTTACCAACAAAATTTAGCTCAACAATGCGCCAAATGCAATAAAGTAATAAAATGTTTTATGTTGATATTTTATCAAATAATTTTTTACATACAATCTATTTTTTTTTGTACGCGGAAATATTAAAACTGGTTTAGGACTTGGAAAGCCATTTTTTTTAAACTCATAAAAGGAATACTGCATTATACGATTGATGAATGAATGAGACAAACATTGTTAAAATATTATATTCTTAATACACCCATCATAATTTTACGACTGATTTAACCAATATGTCATTGTTTTAATATAAAAAAAATTCACATAAGGTCAAATATAATATATATATATAACTAAAATATCTATCAGTTTGACTCTCATTTTTAAGGAAGTCATTAATAATGCGAATGATTCATATATAAATATTTTATATATTATGAAAGCCAATTACTGACGTGGGCGTTAAATCGAAAGGAGAAATATTTCATAAGGAATGTTTCATATGTTATGGATGCGGCACAGAACTTTCGGGGAAAAGCGTCGCAGCCAAAGACAATAAACCCTATTGTGTAGAATGTTATGGCAAAATGTTCGCAAATCGATGCGCAGGTTGTAGAGAACCAATCACAGGTTTTGATTTTATTGCATTACGATAAGCTTTCTGATTGGTTAATTTTTTTTATAATGTTTACGAAAGTAAAATTTTTTGTGTTTTTAAATGACTGAAAAATTAGAAATAGTCAATCTAAACAAAAAAATCTTAATTCTCCTTTATTTTTATCAATTTAATATTCTCATAAATAATTTTAAAATTTCTCAGTAGAAATATTAAAATCGTTCAGAAATATTTTTCCATCTATATTGTTTTCAAGTAATATAATGTTTATGTTATTATATTTTTTTATATTCGGTTATATTATAATTTGGCAAGCTTTAACTATTTTTTATTTTCTCATATGGACTAGTGTTGTTAAGCTGGTCATTTTGAGTCGATTTTTAAAACCTAACTTAATATTTTAGCCAGAAAAATATAGCCTGAAGCCTCGTGATTTCGTTAATATATGTCTAGACCTTTGTTCCTTCTGTGAGCAAAATCTTCAGGCTTGCGTAATATTTTTCTGGATGAAATACTGAGCTAGCCGTTTTTTAAAATCGACTCCCGTTTAACAACACTAATATGGGCTAAGGATAGGGTATTTTATAACAATTTCAATTCAAACATTCTCAGACAGAATGGGAGAAAACAGACCTTCAAGGGAGAGGGTGAGAATGTCAGTTTTTTTAGTAACATGGATATTAATTAGAAACACAAACTCATAAAATTTCACGAAATATTTTCATTAAAATTTTAAAAATGATGGGATAGTTACCTTTTCGCTCTTTGCATAAAGATCTATTTGTTTTGTTGATTTATATTTTTATATGAAATGTATTTATATGATTAGAGCTTCGCGATTCTTATGTTATTTTGAGATTATAGCACACTCTAGATGCATGGATAGCAAGCCAAGTTTATAGATAGAAGGGACCAAAAAGAATTTTTTCAAAAGACTTTTGAGATTATTTATTTTTAAGGTTTTAGTAGTTTTGCTGAGAGGATTTAATATATCGAAATAAATTTGATAAAGGTGCTGGAGGTATGCAATACATAACTTACCAAGATAGACATTGGCATAGTCAATGTTTTATATGCACGGCTTGCGGAAAATCCCTTGAAAATAGCGGCTTCAATTTAAAAGGAACAGATATCGTTTGCCCAGAATGCTTTCAAAAGCCATAATTTTTAATGATTTGATTATATATTATCATTTTTATTTATAATTAAATTGGTCCATTTTAATGATTTTTAATTATATATAATTTATTGATATAAATGACAAATTTTATAAATATTGTATTCAGAGAAATTAAAGATGACATATTTATTTAGCCTAATCGTGATTTTATTGTAAACTAATGGCATATTAGAAGAATTGGATCTCAAAGATTCACTTTTGATATCAATATTTTTATAACTTAATTCACTCAAAATATACGAATATCTAAAAAAAGAAAACGGGGTCACTGGGGGTGGGCTTTGATTACTTTTCGTCATTTTTTGATGAATAAAGTAGATTAGAACATGCATTAAAGATAAATAAATGATCTAATTCGGTAATTTTAATGATAATTTATTTTTTTAAATTAAAATTCACCTCCTAAGTGGATAAAAATGTTAAAAAGCGCTAAACCCACAATATTTCATTAGAGAAGCTTTAAAATTTGGTTCGGGGGAGGGGGGGGGGTCGCAATGACGACCCTGTCAGTTGTTAGTATGATTTACTAGTTTTTTATTTTATTATATTTTGCGGTTGTTTTAAATAAGTGACATCGCTAGTGGATCAATCGGTATAATAGTGCTCAATGTGCATATGTCTGATATAAATGCCCGGTGAACCTATATACGAATGAATATTATAATTTACGAATTGATAGAACCGAATCTATATAATTCCCGCAAATCGTTTTGTTTTAATATAAATTGTAATTTAATATAATATCTTTTGGTAAATAAAATCACTTAAGCCTCGCAATTTAACTACTAAAATCTTCAGTCTCCTATAATTTTTTGGCTTGAAGTTAGCCGTTTTTAAAATCGGGCTAAATCGAGCCATTACATTCTATGTTACTAATAAATCTTAAATATTTATAATAGTCTTTATATTTTTATTGACAAATTTTATAAAAATTCAAAACCGATAAACCTTTATAATTTGTTCTAAACCGCAACCTTTTAAAATTTTAGTAGCTGAAGCATAACTTAAATAAACGGTTCGAATATTGCCAAAATAATCTAAAATGCTATAAAAAAACCCAGATTTTAAATGATCATAACATTATGATTAAAGTATACAGGCAAAATAAAAAGTATATTTTCTATTTTTTTTATTCAATACTTAGTTATCATAAAATATCGATATAATTCTTTCATTTTTCTTATCATTGTTTCTAAAAAAATATATAAATGGTTTTATATTAATAAGATTGGTTAATAAGTTAAGCTTTCTAAATAGAAAAAAAAATGATAATCTTTAAAGGCTTCTACAAAATTTCTCATGTTTTGGCTCTTGAAGGATAAGTTTGAAGTAAAGAATGCGAAATCAAAAAGTGATATTTTTAATATTATTATGTAAAATCAAATGTGTATTTTGAATATAGGAATGATATTAATATTTATAAAGGGTCGGAGAATATTTTCTATAGCAAAAAAAATCAAACTTTTTTAAATATGAAATATTAGAATTTTAGTAATAATAATTATCAATAATTTCTTATTGTAAAAACAGATTTCTAGTATATAAAAACCCTTATTTTAAAATTTAAGAAATTTATATATTTATCAGTATAAAGACGATAATGCAATTATATAATATAAAGCATAATTTAAAGTTACAATTATTATAATTTATAGAAAACAATTTTGCCTTGTGTGTCTTTAATTATGAGCATATTATATATGGGGAGTTGTTTGTAATTTTTTTTTATAATTACGACAATTAGCAAAATATCAAGTTAGAAAGTTACACGCGCAATAATATATTTTTTTTATAATAATCTAATATCTTAGAATTTAAGTAAAAATTAAAAATAAATCTGAGGAATTATATTTAAAAAAACCATCTTCAAAATATTCATTCTATCAATAAAATCATAAAATTGATCTTTTAGTTCTCGATTATTATAAATACAATCCTAAATAAATATAAAAGAAAAAAAATGGGTGACTTTACGAATATAAATAAGATTGAAAAAATATTAATTATTATATTTCATAAGAATCATATTTATGCCAAAATGTTCTTATATAGTGCATGGGTTGGTTAAAAGTAGAATTTAAAGCTTTCTCAACCATAAAATTTAAAAAAAAAAATTTATATTTAAATTAGATTAATAAATATTCTTAATTTTAAGGTAACTAAGTAAATCAAAGTACAAAGTGATGTAATGGTTCTATCTATAATACATCATAGCTTTTTCCCTCAACCCCTTTACCCGCAGCTAATTTATAAAACAAAAAGGAAGTTTATCAACAGCATCCCCCACCACTGGCCCCTTGCTTAACGGCTGTTCCGCCGGATATTTTAACATTCTGTTTATCATGAGAGGCGGCTGCGGTGGATGAAGATGTCGAAAGGAGATTGGCGTTTCCCATCTTGCGCTTGATATCTGAGGCCATTGTGATAAAGGCTTGTTCGACGTTATTCGCATTTTTGGCGCTCGTTTCGAGGAAAGGGATGCCCAAGGAATCAGCCAAGGCCTGTTAACAAATTTAAGATGAATATAGATAAGGAGTGTGAATTATAATAATTGTAATTGAACGAATATAAATCATAATTTTTTGTTTATTTTCGGTATAAGCACTATTCAGGAGCATAAACAGGCGTGGGAAATAATGCAAAACCCAAATATTATCGCAAAAACATTAGGGTGAACGAGTTCTATGCTGCATGATGTGGCTTAGGGTTAGCCTAAAATGATAAGTTTTATTTTTATTACTAAAATAGATATGGTCTAAGACTTGGGTTGGCTAAACATGAAAATCTATAAAATAAATAACACTGTGTGACAAGAAAATTGGGGGAAGAAAATAAAAACAAGTTTTGGTGCAGAATTTGACGCTGAGTTCGAATCCGTTTTCCAAATTTTCCTTAGACGTCAAATTTTAAAAATATTATTGTATAAAGACAACTTTTCGAAATCTCAAAAATGGTAAAATTTCGGTCTTTATACGGATATATTTTAAAAGGTATCGAATAAAAATCCCTGAAAATTGGTGATAGTGTTAAACTTATATTTCTTTATAAATTTACTAATTTTTATAATTTTTTATCGATTGGTTTTTGAGAATAAAGAATTTCGTTTTGGGGGTCTTAAGTTTTCAATTTAAATTACTATCAAAATTATTAACTATAGAAGATAAATTTTATATAATTTTGCTTCAAATATGCTCAAGATTATATATTAATTCTAATTATGTTTCAAAAGTACTCTATGCCATGAAAATTCAACCAAAATATAAATTAAAAAAGTCGGTACAGATATTTTCGAACATCTGCATAAGGCATATTTAAAGCAAAATTAAGGTAATATTTATCTTTTTTAGTTGTAATTAGTAATATTTTATGCATTTATGATCAATTTATACCAAAATCAGATATCTGTACCCACTTTTTTAATTTGTACACTTTTTGAATTGAGCATTTTTGAAGCAAAATATTTAGATTTTATTTTATCAAATAAGTATTTTTGTAACAGAATACAAATTATAAAGTGTCTCAAATATTAAATATTTTTATGTTGAGTAAATTGCAAGAAACTAAGACATGTATTAATATTTTTATGAGTAAATGCAATAATTGGTAATTTTTTCATATTTTTTATTAATATTTATCTTTTTTAGATGTATTTAAGAATATTTGTTTTTTTAATCAATTTATATCAAAATGACTTTCCAATGGAGTATCTGAACCAGTAGTATGGGCAATAAATAATAATGCCAAATAACGAGTAGGAAGAAAGGAGAAGAATTATTTTTTTTCGCGCTTAATTTTTCATAAACATTTAATTTCTTTCATTAATTTTTTTTTAAATTGGATTTTAAATATAATTTAAATTCTCTCCTTATATAATATTCTAAAAAAAATTAATGCCGAGGTCCCCTTGTTTAAAGTGTGTCTCTAAATTTTGTTACATCTGTGCGGGCTATATATTGCCCGCACAAAATGTCCAATTTCTCCAATCATTCAAAGGATTTATGAAATTTATTACAATATTCCACTCTGCGATTTGGATAAACCATTTGCCCCTAATTACATATGTAAAACAAGTTATAATTCTTTTAATTCATGGGTAAATGGAAAACGGTAATATTTGCTATTCGAAATATGCATTTTGGCACGTAGCAAGAAATCATTCGTGTGATTGTTATTTTAGCTCGATTAGTACATTTAGGTTTAACAAAAAAAATAAGAAGAAAATTCGTTATCCTGAAATTTCGTCAGTTGTTTATCCGGTAAAATATAATATTCATATAACAGTTCCTTTTTTTAATAGTTTGCAACTGGAAAAATTACGTTGCCAGATGAGAAATATAACTATTTCATTTAAAATAAATTGTTTGGGAATCGTACCGTGTGCAGTGTAGCGAAGAGAACGAAAGCCACAATAAATAAATATATTAAATGTAAGCTATATTAAAAAAGATTTTATAAATATTGGTAAATTTAAAAAAATATAGGTTGTTTAAAAATTGAGTAAGGATTTTATAAAAAAAATGTATAATAATAATAAGAAAGGTTTGCTGCAAAAATTAAGATATTTTTTAGTTGTGGGGATCATTAGAACCGAAGTTATAAACCTTCAAAAAGTGCTAAAAATGACCTTTTTGGCCACTTTAACCTAAAATAAATAAAAAAACCTGACTTGCTAGAAAAAAACTGACAGCGGATTTAGAATATGCATAAAAAACTGTCTTAAAACATGTTTATTTTATTTTCTCCCAAAAAATTAAGTCGAAATTTGTCACACAGTGTAATGTATGGAGAGGTTGAAAAAATTTAGGTAAATTGAATGATATTTCAAATCGTGTAAATAGATACGAGCCATTAATTAATAGGATGCTATGCCATCCAATATATAGATGTATCGTATTTAATGAGACCATAAATTAATATTTAATGAGACCATAAATTAATATTTAATGAAACCATAAATTTATAAAAAAAATTACTCATTTTTTATATTAAATGTTGACGATAATTATTTAAATTTATAAAAAATATCACTAAAAAATTAGCCATTATAGAAAAACTCAAAATATTATGAGCAAGGATTATAGTAGAGTAATGACTATATTTTTAGCCGTTTTAACCGGTTAGAAACTAATATAAATTAAAACGTTATAATGTTAACAGACTTTCTCCGGCAAGCGCTAAAGATTGAGCCGAATTTAGCCATTACCCAAGAATAGTGAGGATATATTAGGGAAATCGGATATCATGAAATTCCGTTAATTTATATTCATATATTTATAAATTTCAGATTGTGAAAATAATATAAATAGGTAATAATATGAAATTCTGTGTCCACTATAGTTGGGTAATTACAATATTACGCCAATTTTTAGCTGGCGAAGTTTTTAGCAGAAAAATATAACTTTGGCCTCGTTCTTTAAAAATATAGCAGCTCAAATTTGAAAGAAACTAATATAAATTAAAACACCTTAATGTTAACATATTTTCTCTGGCACGAGCATGTAGATTGAGACAAATTAGTCATTACCCAACTAGAGTGTGCACTTATATAAGCCCCTAAATAGAAAGAGAAATTTTAAATGGGCAAACCTATTTAATTCACATTATATCAATTTTAAAAAAACACCTAAGTTCTGTATTATTACTATAGAAATAAGCATATTATACTTTGAATTAATTACTATTAGCTTAGTTAGTTTGCTCTATAAAATATTGCAAACAAATTTTCAAAAGATTTCTAAAGGAAATAAGGACACCAGTAAAAAATAAAAGCTATCTTTATAACCTATTATTCAACAGTGCTGATACAATATATTCTCGATCAAAAATGAAACATTTAAAAAACTCAATGAAACTGTCCACAAGATATCTACTTATTATAACATTACACGGTCGATATCTTACGAATAATGAGTTCCATGAAGCTTAAGATATAATAAAAGGGCTAAGATTACTGCATGTTAGTGATAATCGTATCATTTATGTAATATTATAAATTTATAATGCAAAAGTGTATCTTTGATAAGCAAAATATGGTAGAATCTATAAACAATAATCAGTTATTGGCAACAAGCTAGTGGAAGTAACTCTGTTCTTCCCTTTAAGGGAAATACCAAATGTCATATAACCCTTCCAAGTTCAAGATCATTTTTCACTTTGACTATAAGAAATTCTAACTTATGATTATTTAAAAATATATAAGAAAATGGTTAAAACTCAGTTATTCCGAGGAAAAACTGCCAAAACAAGAGAAGCACTATGTCTAGAATAAATCAGATAAAGGGATATGAAATCTATGGTGATTCGAAATCCCACTTTTATATTATTTATTAAGAGCGGTTTCTAAATTTAGAAAATCTGATTTGACAGGAAATAAATTTCAGCATATGTTGAGAAACTACCCCATGAAATTTAATCCATTATTGCCCTTAAATCTTATGTATTTTCCAATTCATGTGAAAAATCTATATAAAAATGAATATAAATTAAGTGTAGTTCAAAAGTGAGGAAGTTGTTTGAAATTCATGGTTTTGATACTATGTACGTGTTGGAACCAGACCTTCATAGGCCGGGTATAGGCTTAATATCATATTTCCTAGCGGATCTGGGGTTATAAATTTTTTCAATGTGCTTGGGCCTAAAATTATTAACTTAAATTTAGCTTATTTAAACAGTTGCTAACTTAAAAAAATATTACCATTTTTTTCTTCCAATATAATAAATTTTAGTATTGTTAACAAAATGATTGCCTAAATACAATTAATTGTTTATTTTATTCAGAGACATCTAGGCCTGGTCCTACTATGTATTTTAATTTTTTTTAAATATATCTGGGCCAGTCCTTAAATTTAAAAATACTTGGCCCCAAATGGAATTTTTATTTATAACAATTAACATTTATTTAAAAAATAAAATTCCATTTTTAAAATATTAAAAAATACAATTAATTTAATATTATTTTCTACTTTATAAATATTATAATTTATAATATTTTTGAAAAATATATACCATTCTTAATCCTTATTCGAAATAATAATGGAAATGTTATATGGAGGTGAAAGATCACCCACAATGGAAGCCTAACCCTGCATTCACAGTTAGCACAAATATTTTAAATACTTCCTCGTGCTAACTGTGATTGCAGGGTAACGTGGTGCATGGATTATATATTGTACTCTAACGGCAAGATAGAATAAAAAAAAAGATTAGCATATGGTTCGAAATTATACATCTACAGGTTTGTCAAGTCCCGCATTAGACCTATTTTACAGATGTAGGAAAAGGTTATAAATAAAATTGAACTGAGGAAAAAGGAAGGATAATTTTTGAGAAAAGCGAATTTATTTTTAGCTGGGGAAAAAAATTGGTCGGTCTTTCTTGAAAAATAGTATCTAAAAAAAGGCATTAAGAAAACAAGATAAAAAAATTTTGTCGAAGTTCCTAAGTCTTAGCCTGAATGAAAATTATAAATTTAGAGCTCACTAAGTTCAAGAAAATGTACGACCAAGAGTCTAACGAAAGTGCAGAATATTAGTATTGAATCTTTTAAACATACTTTGGCATCAGTGTCCTTGACGGCCCTTTTGCCAGTCAAATCATCTTTGTTCCCAACAATGAGCTTGCACACGTTTTCGCTGGCATATCGATTTATTTCTAGTAACCATTGTTTCACGTTATTGAAGGATTCCTATACACGAATCAAATTTATTTTAAAAATTTTCATCATAAATATTAAGTAAAATTGAATTTAAAAGGGGCGTTTGGCCGAATTTATAACATTATAATTACCTTTGAGTGGCAAGGTTTAAGGTAATAAACATCATGATAATTTTAAAAATTATTATCATAACTCAACAGTATTCACGACAGAAGGTCCGGTTTTCTAGATTTGAACCGAACCGATTCAGTTTATTCGAATCGGTTTTAAGGTTCGATCTTTGCAATCGGCCCTCCTTGTGAATAACTACTTTCCAAAACTGGTGTTTAAAAAAATATCATGTGTATTCTGCCATATTTTTTTAAATCTAATCAAATTAAGTTGTTATTATCATTTCATGTAGTTTGGGGAGTCGTTACTGATTACTTTATTTATGCTCAAAATCAGAGACCTGCAGGCCTGGCCCGTTAATTTTTTTAAATATACCCGGGCAGGACCTGAATTTTTTTTAAAAAAAATACCTGGGGCGCAGATATTTTAAAATCAAATATCTGAAATAGCTATTATTAGCTATAAAAATCAAAAATAAACAATATATTTTTGAAAAATCCGGGCAAATTTTTTTTTAAAAAAACCGGGCCAGGCCTGAAAATATAAAACCCGGGCTAGACCGGGTCGAACAATTATTTTAAAAAAATCAGGGCTGGGCCGTGCAAATGGTACCTCTGCAGGTCTCTGCTCTAAATAATAAGTTTTTTAAGGTATGCTCTTTTGTTTTGTTATAATATCTTAATAAATGTTTTGAGAACTATAAATTCAACTAAATTTTGTAATAACTTTAGGTAAGAGTGCTCAAAAACAATATATTTTAGGAATTATAATTTTATTTTAGGTATCCACACCCCCCAATCTTCTTTAGTATGAAATATGTTTTATAAAGGTATTCACAACAAAAATGTTGAGGTCATCGTCATGACTTTATACTGTCCAAGGTTCAGTTTGGTTTTTACATTGTAGCTTATGGTTTAGTCTTTGTAAATCAGTTCCAGACCAAACTTGTAAATATTTTTGAAAATTATTGCGTTGTTAAATATTAATTTTATGATTTCTCGTTTTTATAGCAAAAACATATGCATAATAAGAGTGGATCGTCGTTGATTTATTTATCCCTATTTTATCCTTAAATTTGCAAAAATAAAGATTTTTAATTAAAAATCCATAAATTTAAGGCAAGAAGTAAATAAATAGACATTTGATATTTTTGAGATAATGAAGTAAAATGAAGGGGCCAAAGATTTCAATTATTGATAATAATTCATAAATATAATTATCTTATTAATAACAATTGTAGGTATTATTATTTAATAACTATCATATTTTTTTAAATTTAATTTTATAAATTTCTTAATTTTTCCCTTAACAATTAACAAGATCGAATACATTTTTTGAAATGGCCAGAACAAATGTAAGCGCTCTTTATGAAGTGATTTTGAAAAAATTCATAAAAAGAGATTAATTGTTAAAATATAAAAAAGAAACTTTTTTAAGACTAAAAAAATTAGTGTAAAGAGAAACGTGAATAATTATAGAGCATAACCCGATCAACCTCATATCATCAAAATCTTAATTGATAAGATGAACAATTGCGATACTAAGAGCTATAAGTTTGTCTGGGTGAAAATTATTGAAAAGAGATTTTTTACACCCTGGTAATTAAAAAATTTCCCTGGGTCATAAAATAATCTTTTACAAATTGTCCGGGCAGACTTGTGGTACCTAATTATTTCAAAATAAAACTGCTAGTCTGTCTCGTAAAGATATTTGCACCTAGCCCGGCCCACTTCTACTATAAGCCTCCATTATAAAATAATTACAATTTTGAACAATCTCTATATAGTGGATAATAATAATAACTTGACGCCATTATAATAAATTTACACCATAATCATAAACATATGCAAATATGTAAATAATATAAATAGGATATAATAAAAAAAGACAATAAATAAGTTAGAGGTCAAAAAATATATATTAAAATGAATTAAACCTACCTAGTCAAAACCTTTGCAAATTTAAACTATAAAAATTAATTTTTGTTATTCCATCAAGTTGATTATACAAAACAAATGAGGAAAATCCATAAAAAGGCCATCGGGCTGGGCTAGGAATTTTAGAAAAAAATTTAACGGGCCGGGTAATTTGTGCATAAAAAATTTTCCAATATATATATAATATCAAGCAGGGCCTCGTAAATTTCTCATTTTTCGTAGAAATTTTAATGGGCTCAACCGAGAATCAAAATGTTGATACATTTTTTTTCGAATTTCAATCTAATACTTTGATTTCGATTAATACCATTTGAAAATAAATTACAATATGCTTATTTCTTCGTATTTTAAGAGTAATGGTTGTTGTATAAATAGATAACCATAGAGGAGATATAAGAGTCTTAAATAAGATTGGGAAAAATAATTAGATATAGATATTAAAAATATATAATGGGCCAGGCCGGTTAAATTTTAAAAAAACTATAACCAGCCGGGACTGGCAGGGCTGGAGACAACTTGTGCAAAAATTCTTAACGGACCAAAGCGAACCGGACTTTTCAGACCTCTAATCCACATATATAATAAGAAATAGATATATTAATGAAACATTTTCTTTTATAACAATAAGATAGAGATAAACATAAAAATATTGAAATTCACAAAATAGGGTAGTACATTAGTACATACCTATAATAGCATAACTGGTGATTTATTTTTATGAGTTAAATAATCAGATTTTTTATATTTTGTTTTTGATTTTATGATAAATTTTTTTTAGTCAATTGATAAAAATTGATCTAAATTAATGATTTTTTTTTAAACGGCTCGATTTAATTCGCATTTAAACTTAATTAATTTTATTCCAACCCTTGTAAGGATATGGAATATATTGATAAGCTAATTACAACCCTTTTAAAAGATCAAACAAATACATGGCATGTTTCCATAAAATTTTGTTTTCATTTTAAAATAGGTTGACTTATATAAAATTGCAAATAATAATAAAAATTGACATTTCAAAGATCAATATAAACATAGATATAGCCAGGATTTTCTTAGGAATGAATTTTGAACGGTCTTCATTTCCATATATTTAATTTAAGGACAAAAAAATCTTAGAAATCTTTGGGAAAGAGGTTTCCAAATAATTAAAAGCCAAGGAAAGAAATAAATGTAGACACCTGTAATTCAAATGAGTTGGTTTTATTTACGATTATCAGAGGATCTTATAGATTTGTCGATCTAACTTTTTAAGCCCCTTGAATGACCCCACACCTTTTAAAAAATATTTATTTATTTTTATTCCATTTTTTAACCACTTTTCGTCATCGTTTTTCAGATTTTTTTTATATACACCCAGAGTTATTCAATATAATTTTGTTTTTATATTATAGTATAATGTTTCTGTTATTTTTTAGCTGAGATATAATTATCTAAATTATAAATCTTTTTAAATTGAATTGTTTTTAAATAAAATATCGTCAATAAGTATTTTAAAAAAAATTTAATCATATTTTTAACACATTAGAATATTATTGTAACAATTGATGAAGCCCCATCCATGCCTTTCGATGAAGGCTTTGGTGATGAAACAGATGGTGTAATCATACCTCCTAATGCTGCTGTAGTAAGTTATGAACAAGATTTCGATAAAAATGATCTAAAAGACACACCTAATCTTCCACTAGATATTGCAGCGGAAATCGAAATCCATATTCCACGACACATTGATATTGTCTTAAAATTCTCAATATCGACAAATAAATAAAAACAAATTAAATTTTCGAATTTAAAATCTAGAAAATATATATGAAAAGAAATCATTATAATTCTTCAACTTGATTTGATTGGAAAACCTCCAATATAAATATTTGTTGACCAAGATGTATTCACTGCTTGTAAATCAATCAAATATTTATTCCAAACAAAACAATAGAGCAAGTTTTATTACAGTCGAGATGGAGATAAAAAAGTTTATAGGAATTATTTTACTGACTGGATATCATTCCTTACCACAAGAAAGAATGTATTAGTTGAATGACAAAGATTATTACTTTGGACGACCATTTTTAAAATAGATGAAACTTGGTATAAAGGTCAACTAGATTGTATATGGGCCTTAAAGTTCGATTAGAGTTTTTCTCTTTTAACGAATCTTAAAATACTCAAAATATTTTTGAAAGTAACAAATTATATATCATTTTATAGTCCTTAAATTTCTCCTTAAGAAAATGCAAAAATTATTTTAAAAATATCTTCAGTGTCGTTGTATTTCTGGTAAAACAAAAAACCATTATTTGAAAAGTGTTGCATTAAAAATGATGAAACTCATGAAATGTGTTAATTACCAATATATTTAAATATTTAAGTAAAAATATTAATGAAGAAAATAAGAATTTAAATCTTATTTAATATTTTTTATTATTTTAGAAATAAAGAGATCAATTATAAAGAGCTCTATTTCTAAAGTTAATTAAAATATATAAATAAAAAAATGAATTTTATGTGAAAATAATCATTAATCTATAAAATTATTATATAAACTGGAAATTTTAAAAAAAATACAAATTATTGTACCCCAATAAAAAAAAATATTTTATAATTATCTTTATAGATAATAGCGCCCTCTATAATTCATTTTTTATACATAACATTATAAAAATTTAAATTCACATTTTTTCCATTCATATTTTTATTGAATAATAAACATATTTGATGAGTTTTATCGTTTAACACTTCCTTTATAATTGATTTTTCTACTCCTAAAATTTAAAAAAACTAAATAAAATTTAAATTCTTATTTACTCCATTAATATTTTTATTTAAATATATAAATATATTGGTAATAAACATATTTCATGAGTTTCTTTATTTTAAATGGGGCACTTTTCAAAATATTTTTTTTTATTTTTATTGAAGATATTTTTAAAATAATATTTGCATTTACTTAATGGATGTTTTAAGGGCTACAAAATGATATATAATTTGTTACTTTAGAATTAGATCAAAAATATTTTGAATATTTTAATATTAGTTAAAACAGGAAAAGACTCATCGAACTTTTAAGGCCCATAACTCGGGATATTTTTGAGCTAGGGCAATAAAATTTGGATTTGTAAGGTAAATCTAAACCTTCATTCCAAGTTTTATTCATTTTAAAAATGATCGTCCGAATCACTGGCCAATTTGTCATGGAATTACCCATTTACTTCAAAAAAAATTGAGAAACTAAACTTGAAAAATTAAAGTTATGACAAAAAAGGAAAGGGGCTATAACAATTACTGATTTAAATAGACAAATGAAATATTTATAATACAATGGAATGATAGAGTGGTGACAGCTGCATCAACATGCAAAGCTCTTAGCTCTCTGTGCAAATTGTCAAGATTCTCAAAGATTTTTTAAATAAAAATTATAAAATTTAATCTAATAATTTCATAGAATTCCTATGGGTAGCATTGTTCTGTGCGATAACCTCATGTCGACATATGAAATAAATATACAAGGTAAAAAATGGTGGTGGCCTATTTTTAGTTATTTTATTGATGTAGCAGTAGTAAATTTATGGAGGATATGGAATCAAATTAATCCTGATATAAAAAATCAATACTTACATTTCAGAGGGTAATAACTATGACACTTTTAATAAACTCTAGCAAATGAAAAGAGGGGAAATTTTCCTTACTAAGTAAAATAATAGATTCTTATTATTTAGCAATGATTACTAATAACAAAATAAATTTTGTCATACCAAAATATATTGATTGTATTAAAAAAGATAATAAAATATAAAATTATAGTATTGTAACTAATAAATGCAAAATATATCAATAAATCTTGAAATTCTATATCCTATTTTCCCCAAATAATAATATATTACCTTATTTTTATGGCATCTAATGGTAAACATTGCAGATATGTGATGGTTCATATTTCCTATTTAGAATGCTTTTTTGTGCTAATATTTTCTTATGATTTCTTAGACTATATATATTCGAGAATTTTAATCAGCAAGAAAAAATCTGACCATTAATAAATTAATTATATATAAATGGTAAAAAGATAATATTTAATGAATTATATATTTTCGTTTTTCATTTAACACATTTGATATCTTATTGGTAAAAAAAATTCTTAATGCATCTTTGCTTATTTTGTTTATTTATATTTATTGTTTCAGAGGGGGTAGGGATTTAAGGGATGATTATTTCCAGCTCCACCCTCTAGCAACTTCTACAAATATAAATTATATATTATTTATATATATCATATCTGCATAGGTCAAAATTTTAAGCCCAGCCCAGATTTGAAAAAAAAAAAATTATTTTTCAAGACCAAAGTAAATTCTTAAAAAAATAATTTGACCAGATTTTTATTTTTGATCTTAATTTGGTCCATCCCAAAATTTCTAAACATTTAATTATTTTGCCTGTATTTTGCAATTGCTTCAAAGAGAGATTAAAAATATGAACAATAAATCAGTATTAAATGCTTTATATGATTTTATAACTAATTAATTGATGCATTTAAAAAATTTAAATCAGCTTAATCTGGATTTTTAAAAGTGGCCCTAAGGCCTGGTTGGATTTATAAGCCTGGCCAGATTCCAGGCTATAGATCCATGTTATATATTGAATGAAAATAATAATAAAAACTTTTTCCAATTGATATAAGTAAAAAATTAATTTATTTCTATATAAAAATGAAAATGCAATTTTATTATTTATCAAGATAATCTGACTAGTGTTGTTAAACGGCTCATTTTGAGCCGATTTTTAAAAACGGCTAACTCAATATTTTATTAAGAAAAATATTATGCAAGCCTCAAGATTTTGCTTATTGGTGGCACAAAGGTTTGGACATCTATTAGTGAAATCTCGAGACTTAAACAATATTATTCTGGCAAAAATATTGAGTAAGCCGTTTTTAAAAATCGGCTCAAATCGAGCCGTTTAACAACACTAAATCCGACTCAAATAGTGTTTATCAAAAGGAAATTTTTTAATTGGAAAGAATATTTTTTCAAATTATGACAGGTAACTGAAGTAAGAAGTTTCATTAAAATTTAGAAACATGGGTTAGTTAACAGGTTTAAGAGATATAGTTTGAGGTTAATATATGATTTTAAGCTAATTTTATAATTTTTATGTAATGACTAATCTGATTTGTATACAACTAAAAATTAAGCCTCTTGTAATTTGGCAAATTAGTATATTTGCTCTTGGTATTTAACTAAAATAAACTTCATAATAATATACCAAATTAATTATAAAATAATTTTTCTAAATTAAAAACAATTATTAATGACAAGGCAAACTTGATCAGTGATATCATACACTACAATTATTCCATGAGCACCTCTATAATAACTAGAAGTTATAGTTCTAAATCTCTCTTGTCCAGCTGTATCCCACTAAAATAATAATGAACATTAATTTATACAAATATATAATTATATACTATTTGAAGTTTGATAATTTTCCCATCTAATTCAATAGAACGAATTTTCTAATGAAATTATAATTAAACTATTATCATATATATTTATCTTACAAAATCAACTCCTATAGTGCTAATATAGCTCTCAGTATATGTATCATCCTATAGATAAAAAATATTATTATACTAATATATTTTATAATATATTTGATCATATGACAATATAATTTTATTTTTAATTTATTTACATAAAATTTTTAATAAATTTAACATGCATTTTGTAGTTCTTACAGCAAATCTGATAAGAAGGCAACTTTTCCCAACTCCAGAATCACCAATTAACAAAAGTTTGAATAGATAATCACTGAAAAAAAATATTTATATAATGTTCAAACGATATTTTATATCATAAAATTTATTACTATTCTGGATTTAAAGAATGCATAGTTATGTTTTGAAAACACTGTTTTTTTGTCTATATATTTTATGTTTTATCAATCGAATATGGTAGGTGAATTTCAAATGCTAACGTTTCAATTGAGTAAAAATTTCTAAATGAAAAAATTGACAAGTATGAAATTCTGTAAAATCAATAAATAATTAGAATTAGAATTTTACGAAATAAGGATCCTGATTTATTCCTTAAAATATATTTTAAATAATTGATGATTTAATCATCAATATTTGATCTTAATATATTTTATTCAATATTAAAGAATATATTAGTATTGATATTATAAGTAAATTTTTCTATTATAGGTCTAACATCTCATATATTTATACTCAGAGTTGGGTATACCGCGAATAATTGTATCGCAGATACAAGATACAATTTTGACATTTTTTTAAAGATTCTAGTATTTGTATCTAAGATTCTTTATTCTGAAGTAATCTTGTATCATTTGCATTTTCTTTAATAAAAAATTTTCATATCACATATTTTAATCTTATTTTTTTTGGCAACCAAAATTAGCTAGAAGATTTACAAGTTTCATTAAGATAGATAGATAGATAAAAATTAGCAACATCAAAATGAAATAAGTAAAGAATATATATTATATATAAATTAAATGTAGCTCCATAATTAGCAATTATATATTTTTTAATTTGTAGGATGATTAACACTCATGGTAGTGAAGAAGATAATGAAAGGAGAATTATGGAAATAAGTTCCCCTGAATCAAATCAATCCCAATCTTAAAATTTTCGATGTAAAATTTTTTAAATAATTCAGCAAGAAAATGTATAGAGTGAATGTCAAACCTATAAACACAAAAAAAAAATGATAAAGGGTTCAACATATGTCTCTACAAATTTTGTTAAACATATTTATGTATGTTATTTATAAATTTAAGTTATAAAATAATTATATCTAATTTTTAAATAAGAATGCCATGCCATTTAAGCATTTATACCCAATATAAAGCAAACTATCACAATAAAAAATAATAATTCAACCCAGTATTTCAACTTCATTTAATGCCATTAATAAAATAAAACCAATAATTACACAAATTAAAATTAGAATGTAGTAATGGGAAAATGTACAAATTTATGGAATGCAAGTGGAAGGCCAAATTTTTTGAAAAGATAAGGATTGAGTAGTGATCAGCTAAAATTTCAACGCATAATAAGATGGAGCAGCTTATTAGGAAAGCTTCATTGTTAAAGTATAAATCATATTTAATTTATTATTTGAAACAATTGATTGTCCCATAGTTAAAGAAGCTGATATTACTTATATTGAGGAATATTGTTAAGACAAACTACAAAAGCAATGTAGTACAGAAATAGTGCCTATTATTTGTGTTAAAAGGATTTAGGTTACTAGTTTATGTTGCAATTGTCTACCTTTTAAAGTTGTCCAAGATGATATTGGTAAAAGATTTGGTAAATTTTTTTTCTTATAATGATAAATAATGAGGCTTTTTTGACATTCTTATCACATCTATATTTTAAGAATTTATGAATTGTCGGGTGACAAAAAAAAATACTTTTATATTATTAAAAGAAGCTCTAAATGAAGTATCAGTACTATGTAATCAAGCTCAAACTATAGCACCAATAAATATCTAATACAGAAAATGACGAACTTTTTTTTTTGGTGGAACAAATGTAGCTCTGAGTTCAATAATACAAATAACATTGAGTTGGAGGTTTTAAATATTTTAAGGATCGTCAAAATACATTAGAAAGGCTTACTTATTATCCTTCCATTAAATATTTTTTTAAAATATATAATGCTGCAATATCTAATCAGTTCCAGTTGAAAGGTTATTTATTTTTGGCACAATGTTAAATACGCCGAAACGGAAAAGGTTTATTGATAAATTATTATAAAAATTGATTATTTTAAAAAATAAAGATTTAATTTTATCTATTGTAAATACTCTTTTGCAAATTAATATTTCAACTCACCTTAAAATACTAGTCTCCCTTCCCTGATTATGCAATGAATGGGCTAAAACTAATAATAAATAGCCAGATATTAACTCATCATTAAATATTCTATTAATTATTGTAAATATCCATTCTTATTATAAATAATAAAAATTGTATTTTATAAATTCTAAATTGATTATGATAATTTTATAAAAGTATCTAGTTTACTGGGTATATTTTTTATTTCTGAACGAGCAAATTGAAAATATAGAAAGATTGGTTCCTCAATTTGTCCAGAGATACCAGTCTAGCATGGGGTTTTCAGTGTTATTTTACTTTAAACACTTATTATTGTTTTCAATACCATGTCAATGGTCGAACGCTAAAAATGTACATACTTTGTCGATTTTGCCTCTAAAAAGATCGGAAGTGGATATATGCTCAAAAAAAGAAAAAGGATCTTAGATATAGGTACTAGTTTTTTATTAAAAATATCAAAAAAATCTAAGATATAAGATGTTATAGTTTAATATAAACACAATAATCATTTATTCACATCCATGAAATCAACATTAGTAAACAAATATAAATATATAAAGAATTATTCAATTTAAGAATGATAACACGACTAATCCATCTAGAACATTATCATTGTCATATACGGATTTGTTTTGTTATCTTTTATTTGTGAGTTTTCGGTAGAAAATTTAATCTACAATTGCTATACTTCCACTTCATCTTGAGAAAATCCAGGGGCGTGGCTAGCCTTTACAATTTCAGGGGGCTCAACTAAAATATATTTTATGGGGGGCTTTGCCCCCATACCCCCCAATAATATATTTTACTTTTTTAAAATTTGTTAACTCTGAACAATTATTCTGAATTTCATATTTTGTCATTTATTATTTATGCATACAAAATAAACTAGCATATAAATAATTAAAACAATACAAGACATTTCTAAAAATAATTTTTTTTAATACAAAATCTATTTATTAGAGTATAAAATATTTTTGATTGCTGATATAAAAAAAATTTGCGTTTAAAGAATTACAAGTGATAAAAAAGATTAATTAATTCATACATATTCCTCAATTGATAATAGTTTTTAAAAACCACATTATGCAATAATATAATTCTTAGCAACTTTCATTGACAAAAGGTTATCAAACTAATATAACTACTACTATTTTCCCCATTTATAGAATGGACTAATAAGAAAAAATTTATAGGCCTAAACCAAATCAACAATTCTTGAAGAAGAGAGTATAAACGACCAATCCAAATTATAAAACTATTAAGTGGTTAGAGCTTCCTTTTAGATGGCATGATGGAAGCTAGATAAGTAATCGAGAAAACTATCGTGAGATATTAAATTTCTAAAAGATTATCTTCCATTTTAAATGATATATAAACGACTACACGGTTGACCATTATTGTTTATCTAAAATATGTAATCATATGCTCTCAACCGTTGTTGTAATAATCTTAAATTACATAGAAACACAAATAATAGATACTGAGCCATGACACTCACGATGTAAACTTATATCAGAATTTATTATGTTCGATAAATTGATAAAATAAAAACACTAAAAAATATTTGGAAGAAATAATTATGCAAATATATTGAAGCCTGGAGTTATTTACACGGCAATGCCATATTAGAAATGAAACATTTTCTAACTATAAAATAAGGACCTGAATGATAAGATGAAACAAATATGATTTTATATATTGTCGCACCATCTTGGTATATTATATCTTAAAATAATAGTAGTTAGTAATATTTTCAAAAATATACTTGTATTAAATATTTAACTCAAAACTGTTTTTCGAAAAAGAAAAATATAGCTTTCCTAAAACACATAAAAAAGAGTAGAAAAGATATCAAATTTATTACATCTATTGCAAGATGAATAATAATCTGTTTAATTTTTAAAATTATTATAACTAAATAGATGGCGTTAAATATTTGGGCGCAAATTATTATTTTATTATCAAAACTATTTTTTAGTAAAATTTATTATAATATTAACTGTAATATATTATATAACTGTAAAATAGGTCTATAAAAGTGTCATTTTATCTAATATTTTATAACCAACTTTATATAATAGAAGATTATAAACTATATATCTATTTATTTACTTTTTATAAAGAAATCTCTTATACTTATATTTGGACCTTGAAAATATTTTTAGGAATAGGTATGATAATTAAATTTAAAAATAAATATACAGTTGATTAGTCATTTTGAACTCGGCTAATTGCAATATTAAATTTGTAAATTATCAAATAATATATGATTATATTTATTTATTTAGGGTTATATAATAATTTAAATAATAAAAGTTAATTAAACCTCAACTGTTAAAACTAAATTAATTTTAATATTTTATTTTTAATACGGAATTTGATTGCAAGCTGACATAGTGAAAATATAATTTATATGTATTAATCTAATCTAATAATTAAAATAGTATTCATTTATTAAAAATTTAAATAGACTTATTAATTTCTAAATAATAAAATTAAATCTATATATTAATTAATGGAATTATAAAAGAAATCATTCAGGGGGCTATCAAAAAAAATTTATTTTTAGTTCAAAGGGATATTAAGGGGCCATTAAAAAATTAATTTTTTGCTTCAGGGGGCTATTCAAATTTTCAGGGCGCTCGAGCCCCTGCACCCCTCTCCTAGCGACGCCACTGAGAAAATTATCTACTTATCTTTGCCACCTTCGGTCATCTATTAAAATTCAATTCTATTTTATGATTGATCTTCCACAAGAATATCAATTTTGATAGATCTCCCACCGGAAAATCCATATCGATTCTATTTGGTGATTGATCTCTCACCGGAATATCAATATTGACTATCCTAACGGGATATTTATACCTGTTTATTTGTATTAAAAGCTCACGAGTCTATAATTATCTTAAAATGGCTCACAAGGTTACCATTATCTCCAGTATGGCCCAAAAGGTTATCATTATCTTAGAATGGCCTACAAGGTTACTATAATGTTAGAACGGCCCACGAGGTCATCATTACCTTGGAGCCTTATGTAAGGTTTCTATAAATATGAAAATTATTTTTATTGTTCATTCATATTATAAGGTAAGGACAATCGTGATGTTAAAACTAACAAATTATATAAAAACATTAATATCAT